CTTAAGCAATGCAGACTGTTAATATTGCTGATATGAATATTCATGCCCTTCAGAGGCCTTGTCCTGAATATGATGTATTGTATTTTTTTTTCCTCTCAAAGCTCAACATCTGCAGGAGACTAAATTTGTTATCTTTACAGAATCACATTTGCTTGTATAATTACTTCATCTTTGCTGGGTGGATTTTGTAAGAATTTCATTTTTGTATGAATCTTTACTGGCCCTCTAAAAAAGATGAGGCACTCCTGGTGGTGGGGGCTCAACTTTTATGAGTCAGTTGATAACCATGATATGATAACTATTCTAAAGCATACAGCTCCAAGCAGAATTTCATAATAAAATGCAGTGCCAATAATAGAAGGAGGAAATGATATGTCAGACTTTCCCTGCGGCCCATAATGACTGATTCAGTGTAAATGCTAATGAATGTAAAAATAAAAAAGGTCAGAATTATTTCATGAGAGTATCCATCTGTATTCAGAAGGTATTTTATTTTACTTAACCACTGTCATTTTCTACAGGGGTAGTTTGACTTTCAAAAGCACATGGCTGTGGACAAAGTTAAGCTAATGTACGGAAAAAAAAGAAAAATTGGCAACCATAGGGAAAGCTTCAATAAGAAAGATTTTGTAGCCTGTGGCCATGGAGAGTACAGTATTGCAAACATTAGCACACTTAAATCAGTAAGATGATGAGCACGAATGCTACAAAATAGATGTCTGTCTGCGAGGGCTGTCAAACCCTCGAAACATTGATCTATAATTTATGAAAACTATGAAATGTTTCCCCAAGGGCAAATGCGAACACATGTATTTTTGATAATGCTGGGAGAACTGCCATAAATTATTGTGACAGCTTTGTGGTGATGTTGGGATGATTGGGCACCGTCAGTATGATCAGTCTGTTTCTTCTCAAGGGAAATAATGTTGCTGGGATAGACTTTTACCCCCAAAGGAGCCGAGCTATGTGGGGGTGGGGGTTCTGCCCCCGAAGATTTTGGCTGTCCCAAGGGTGATTTATTTCTGAAATATTCCTTAGTAGCACAAGTGTGGATTTTCAACTCAATCTGACATATGCTTTTATTGTTACAGTCATTTAAAAAGTTCAAGGCCACACATATGCTAGCTTGTGTGCACTGAGCGTAGCAGCGGAAAAGTATACATGTTTGGCTGGCCTGTCTTGTAAAATGCAGGTGCTGCGCAAGAACAGCGTGTTCGATTTTCACAGCATTGGTGTTGAAATGACCACAAAGAGTTGCTGAAAAGAGTCCTGAAGGCTTAGCTTGTGAAAAATTCATTGCAGCAATATCTGAAAAAAAGTCAAGGGAGGTGGACTCCACCCCCAGCTCGGTTAAGGTTGACTCAAGTCCCTGTAAGGAATGTTCAGAACCAGACAATGACTTGCACTTGTTCATCATTGACACATGCTGTGATGCAAGGTTTAACACTGTTTCGATAAAACCATTGCACAAACAATAATAAAGGGGCATCTTTCTTTGGTTACATGAACAGCCATTTAGCTGACAGTGTACCTGTCTTCCTTGTGTACCTTTCACTCTTGTCCAAACGTTCGCTTGGCTTTTCCTGGGGCTACTCCAGTTGAAAGCACATAGCAGCGAGGCATATCACTGGAACTGTAAGATGTGACACCCATGGGGGTAAGCCAGGCATGCTGTTGGGTAGGCGAACTGATCTAGCACTTGTGAGAGGGCATTCAGAAAATGCATTTCAGATATAAAATCTGAGGGGGTCGGCTTCTCTCCAAAGAAACGTGCACATACGTTGGTTACCCTGCCACAGACCTTCAATTGTGGCTTGGGGGAGAAGCGTTTCACATTCCGTGAAATTGTCTCCAGGTAGAGCATAGGCTTGAAACTCGCTGACGTAGGCCTATCCAATGACAGATCATATGTCCAACAGAAAACACGCTTTTCTGCAAATCCTGCAGCAAAGGCATCTTTGTTTGTAGTGAGACATACAAACATTGACAAACTTATCTGAGGGGGTCTTCACTTATTAAAAACAGCTAGCCCTCTCTTTTTTTTTTGGGTCAGTGGAAGTTGGGATTTATACTGCCTCAAGCAGGAATGAGGACCGGAACACCTTGGTAATTATGTCAAGATGCCTTGTTTTGTTGCCTTTAGTTGAGAACATGTTCCTTTTTCATTTTAATTAAATTCTAAAACCTTGAGGCATACAAAGTCAGTTTCAAGCAAGATGAAACCATAAGGCTTTTCTTGAGTGGATATGTTTGTAGAACCTAGCACTATTGCGGAACCTTGTAATTATTTCTGTGATGTTCCAGTAGAAATATCCAGAACATATTTGACAAAGAGTATCCCTTGCCTTGCTCATTCTTAATCTTTTTTTGTGCAGTTCCTGACCTAAAACAAATTAGTTTATCCTGCCTTTGCGCATTTTTGCCTGGATTCTGATAAATGACTGAATTTGCTCAGCCACCAGAAGTGAATCAGTGATCATAAACAGCTTCAAGAAATCAGGATATCAAAGCATCTTTCGGATGAATCAGAATATGGCTCACGTTGACCCTGATGAAGGCGTCAGTGTTATCTCACGTTATATCCATGGCCCCTTGCCAAGCCCGCGATTGATTTCAATTTGCCATCCAAGCGTTATGTTTCAACAGAAGCAGTATCACCACCTGTAATTAAATTATTCTATCTCACTGGGCACATTACGAGCGATGTCAGTACATTTAATCTTATTTGCTGATCTTGTATGGTTTGAGTTGTAGTTACAGTTTCAGGGAGTAGTTGCGGTTTTGTTTTGAACTTCCTTTGTTCCTGTCTATCTATTGTGCAGATAGTTCCCAAAAAATGAATAAACAAATTTTCTGTTCTGTTTCATGAAAGAGGCGATAGTGCTAAAAAACCTGAAGGACCATGAAAGGAGATGAAATAAAAATAACTATATACGACTTGGGGGGGGGTGTTCATTCTTGCTCTAAACAGTTTATTGTTCCACTACACTCTTTCTGTGGACAGAAGTTAATTAAAAATGAAATAATGTGAACCAGGCCTGCATTTGTGATACTCATTCACTGGATTCCCCACACCATTTCAATATGCGTCTGTTACGGACTTTAATTTCTATTCATCTAACTCTGTGGAAAAGACCAGGGGGAAACAAAATCCCGGATATATACAGCCCAGGAGAGATCCAAACAATACTCTGCATGGTTTAATTTCCCCCTCCCAAGAACAGCCTGAGGAGGCGGTGTTGATTGCAAAGGGGTTTTTCCTTTGGGTGTCTTGCTCAGGTGGTGACCAATATGCTTCTTGAAGATAGCTAAACTTACTGAAGATTTTCAAATGGGCATCAATTTTGTTAAGACATTGTAAATCCAGACTCTTGATTAGTAGGCCTATCCATTGATGTGGAAATGACAACTGTGTGTCCGATGATAAAATGAAATTATCAAAGGTGCATGCTAATGGAACATAACTGGAAAGCATGTAGACCAGTAGGCATCTCCTAATTAGTTTTATCTACAGAGAGGAATATTATTCACAAAATGGCGGACTAGTTCTGGCTCAGGAACTAATAAAACATTGAGGAGAGTGCTGGAAAAGTGTTCATGGTGAAAGTGGCATTTGGGAATCAGGTTGGCAGGAATTGTACACGATTTGAATTTCATTAATAGAAATTGGGTCATGCCGGTGTATGAAAACTGGAGCACACCAGACTACCTTGTCTAAGATCCACATGTTTGGTCTTTGTTCTTCATTCGTGCTGGTAGCTGAATTTGTGTCTGCTGGAAGGAAGAGATCGTATAGTGTGATTAATTATTAACATCTCAGATACTATAATTTCATTGGTCTAGAAAAGTCACTTTCCAAGTTTGTACTAAAAATGATGGGAACGCTCATTGGTTTAATGCATAAACTGTGCCATATTGTAAATAAGCATTGCTAGTCTTAAACATATGAGTCCACTGACATCACCCAAGAAAGGGAACAAGGAAAGGAAAAAGTGTTATATGCAGCTAATATTTTGCTGTTAATTTAGCATAGATTTAATGTTACAAACTGCTCCAATTTGGCGTAAAGTGTAACTGTGTCCCCAATATATGGGAAATTATTCCCAGTACTTATACATTTTGAGTATTGTTTTCTGATATTTTCAAAAATTTGGTTATATATTTAAATTAATCCTAGCCCCTTGAAACATTTGGGTGGTCACTGAACTCTGGGCAGATGAGACTGTCCAAGGCCTCAGTACAACCCTAACATGAGGAATAGCTCTGCTGCTTATGCTTGGAATGAAACATGATCACTCTTGACTGAATGTGACAGGTGGGATCGTGTTGCCACAACTGTGTCACTGCCTGTCTGCTCCAATTTGGATTGATTCTTTCTTTTTTGAGGAGAGAGACAGGAACTAGTGTAGCGTAGCCAAACTTATTGACTGGAAGGTGTGCTGAGAGAAAATGATAAATTTTCTGTCGGCCAACTTCAGTAATTCAATAAATCTTCTATTAAGGAAATACATTTGAATGCATATAGCATAATCAATGCATAAAGGAGGGGGTGATGTGAAAATATGTAAATGGGAAGACTGTTGGCAGTTTAGTTTCTGAATGTGCTAAAAACCGTTCTTCGATCAACTTAGACATGAAATTTTGAACACTTGAATTCTTTTATCCACCAAAATGTTTGAAATTATTTTGGTCATACCATGAAGGTAGAATGGTCATACTGTTCAAATGATATGGTTGCCAAAAAAGAAACTCAATTTTGAGGGCAGAGATTAGCAGACAGCCAAAGAAATGATTGAAAAGTAGGAACTATTGCAACGCAGACTAATTGAGTAGACATTGAAGTTTGGAATAAAGTTTATATCAAAGCAATGTGAACCGCAAAACTAACTATGCATCACTGTTTTTATTGATTTCTATAACAGAAAGGAACAACTTCATTCGAATCTTTTTCAGGGAAGAGTAAACATGTCAAGTTCATTCTGCATTTGTCTCGTTAACAGAAACTTAGGAACACGGTGGAAGAGGCTCATGAAAGGCATGAGTACGATCCAGACCTTCAGGTAGGAGGCTTATCATTAAATTAAATCCATGTTGAGCAGTTCTGTGTTGGTTGTCAATCTCTCCTGCACTTTAGTTTCTCTTTGTCTCTATAATCTTTCATCTCTCAAGCTTGTTGAAAGTGTTTTGTTGTTGTTGTTATTGTAAAGGTCTGTTCTCATTTTTGTGATGGTAATAAAGACTTAAACGTTCTTTGATTAAAAAATGAAAATGCCCTTGATAGCTTAGCATATTGTGACTGCTTCCTGTTGCCAAAAAATGTAACAATTCGTCCTTTCATTGTTTCCAAATTAGCGACTGCTTAATATTCTGGTTTCGAACAACACATGCCCAAAATGAAGTATGTCTGAGGTTATTTGGATGCCCATGTGAGATCTACCCAATCAGCTCGGCCCCACAAGGATGGGCATGGAGGCTTTGTTTTCTAACGACCTTGTTTTTTTTTTTTTAAATGAACTGGCTGTCCTTGTAGTACACTTTGCCATTCCTGTCACAACCTTTTCTCATCCCAAAGTTTGAATACTTCAACTCCAACCTCATCAACACGAACACTACTGGCCGCAACGACAGAGATGCCAATTTACGCAAGCCGTTTGCTCTGACACCCAACGATCACTTCAACGACATACCTGTCAATATTGTCAATAGCACTGTCCAAGTTGCTGCCAATGTGTATAACTTTGGTAAGTATAACAGCATCATTTCATTACACGTAATTTTGATGGCACTTTTATGATTCGTAATTAAAAAGGGGGTGGCCCCCACACACATACAAAATAGGAAAAAAAGAAAATTGGAAAAATGACAAGGAAAGTAGAAAGGGGATGAAAGTCACCCATTTGCTTGAAAATACCTTGGCGTTGACCCCTCCTTCACCACTGATGATGGTTTGTCAGTTGCTGCTTATCCTCTCCCCCAAAAAAGCTTGCCCCCCCCTCTTCAGCGATGTCAACCTTGGAGGAGTATTTCTTTATTCACAGTCAGCTAAAATTAACTACATGTAGTGTGTGACTGTGTGCCGTATCAAAGTACACACTATTCCTCAAGCATAATAGCCACATAGCACAATCTTACTCTGCCAAGTCCATAAAGCTGGCCCTAAATTCAATGGCTACCAATGAGAATGAGAATTTGGCTCCAAATTTCAAAGGTGGAGAATGTCTGCCTCACATACAAATAAAGTCTTCAATCTAGCTCTGCGTGCAGGACAGATTCATGAGTTAATTGTACTCCATGCTTGTTTTCCCACATGTCATTCGCACCAGCCAAAGTATGCGAGTGAAATGTCATGTGTCATGCCAAGATGTAGCGTAAGATGAACTGTTGATGGGTTGAAGAATGTCTCTCCAATTCAGTACAAGCTTTGAAATCATCTTAGACAGTGCAGTTATTATTAAAGCAAACAAGTTCCAACGAATTGTAATAACAAAAACGTGTTTTCTCAGCATTTTTAATAACAATGTGTGTATATTTAGTCTTACTGTCAATATTCTTAAATATTCTTGACAATGCTGTCCAGTGCTTTGCCAAATACTGAATTCATTAAGGCCAAGTTAGTTCCAATAATTGAATATTTGAATACCGTTCTATTAATCACTCAGATAATTGGTCGGACCAAATTTCTATAAAAGCTGAAACAAATTTTGCATGTTTTTTTAATAAGTAAAGAAAGAAAAAATCCAAGTAATTTTTGGTCTTCTTGTTGGGCCTGTGCATTCAGCTATATTTACTTGCAACACCTTCGAAAATGTGCATGCTTTTAGAATGCAATTATGCAACTGAAAAGTAATGTTTTCCTTTGCTGTTTTGTTGATTTTCACCTCCAAAATTCAATCTTTATAGCAAATATTTGAATGTTCCATCAAAACAAATATTTGCATTTTCAGTAATCAATTCAGTAATCAATTGAATATACTGAGTGCTTTTTTTGTGTCAGGTCCTGATGTTTTAAATGGTATCAAGGAGACAGAGGTACTTAATGACGTTTTTCAAGAGAACTACGAGAGAGATCCAACGCTCACCTGGCAGTACTTTGGCCACAATACTGGATTTTTCAGGAACTACCCAGGTCAGTCATTAGTGACCCCTGACCATCCCAGTAAACTCAGAAATGATAATTGTCACTTAAACCCAAAATGAAAACTGACTTTCAAAGTTTACATTTTCATGGTTTAGAAATTGCCACAAGTAACAACCAGCTCTTTGCCAAACATTTTTAAATCGTGTACAAGCCCAAAAGAAAAACACAGACCGCGTTCACTCCTCCAACAAATCTCCTTCCCCATATTTACCTGATTCCTAAGTAATGTATGTACTTCTGTGATATCTCACCATGAAATAAATTCGGAGTGCTTCACAAAGAACCCTTGTGCGATTTTCCTGCTGCCTTTCCATCGGCACAAAATCAACTGATAGAGAAGGTTTAAATGGGAGCATGGTTCTGAGCAGCTCCTTGCCCACGTAGCTCACATTGGCTCCAACCTCCTGCAATAACAGGAATATTTCAGAGTTGTGGAGTGGCACCTGTCGCCTTCAAAATTACACTAGGTAGGGTAAAGGTTTGGAGAAGAGAGGGTATAGCAGAGACCTGCCAGGATTGCTTCAGAGTAATAGTGGTATGCCTTGTGGTGAGGTTCTCATTCTCCGACACCAATCTGGAATTTGTTTGAATGATTCTTAGCTGCAGCTGTCCAGCTCAAATGCCACCCACGTGTATACTTCATCTTAAGTAACATCAACCTTGGATCCAGATTGTAGTTAATACAAGTACCATGGCTCGATTTCTCAGAACTGAGCCAATCATAATAGGCCTGATGCAAGTGAGCAGTTGTACAGCCACGCTAATCAAGGCAATGGTACAGCAGGTGCAAGTTTCAAATTTCAACTATTAAGCCTTCCCCCATAATGACTTATTCAGTCCTCTTATTCAGGCGTTTGAATATTTGGAAGAGCACAGTTGCTTTCCATCCCAAGTCTGAGGCGTTGAATTCAAATACCACCACTTTATTGCTAAAATTTAACACTCATTAGAATTTGATTTGTAAAGGTAACGACTTTACTTATCTGTGCAAGCAACGATTAGTATTTCACTGTAGATTTAACTGCAGTGGGGGGGGAGGTATCTCATTTCCCAGCATGCCATGTTTTGGGCTTTTATCTTCGAGACTTTCCTGACAGATGCCCGGTAGCCAACCATTAGCCTACATCCTTTTGTGTCCAATACAATCAAGACGAAGTTCATCAGCTAGAGGGCAACAGAAGATGGATTCATTTGTAAAATTTGCAGGGAACAGTCTTCAGGGCAATTGGGCCTAATTGTCTCCCTTGCCTCCCTCATCTCCTGCTGTCCAACACTTCATGTTGGTTCAGATTCACTCTGACATCAAAGACCTTTCTTGCTTGACCTGTACAAAAAGATCAAGATGAAGGCTGAAAAAATCTTCCGAAGGAAACAAAGGGAAGTGAAAGCAAAAAAACTCTTGGATATCATCAAGTCTCAGTCTGCTATTGACTAGATTTAGGTGATTGTCACTTGCAAATCATTGACATATGACAAATAGGGCTAATGATTAGAAATTAAGCATACCTGCACCATGTGTATTGTATTCCCATTTTGATCAGACTCAAGCAAGTCTGCAGTCTTCCACTTAAAAGTTGTAACTGCTATTTTTCAGTGACAGGTGTTGCTTAATTTTAAGCATTGTTTTGATGTTGGCCATGTCTCTTGACAAGTGTAAAGCTTAAGTGTAAAGCTTGCTGAAACTTACTCCAAAGACTTGAGCACTGGTCAGAATTTGTCGAAAAAGGATGGAGCAAAGGCATATTGCTCTCAAACCCACTTGGCAGCGGGATTTAAATGACGCAGTGGTTTCTAAAATCTGTACAAGCAATTCATTTTGTAACTGGTATTTGGAACACCTTGCTTTGACAACGTCCTGCTTGCTGGATATCTCATCAACTTTAGTACGTTTAGCTTTTGGCAATACACTCTTAATCATTTCAAAATTGGCATGAAAAAAGTTGATCTTTTACAGTCAGTGTTCTGTTTTTAGCCTGAAACACGACATCTTCTCTGATCGCCTCAAGATCAGTTGTCAGAGCAATATGGCATTGCAAAACATGTCTGAAACCTGAAATCAGCTTCAGTCTTTAATCTTCTGAACTTAAACAATTGCTCATGTTGTAGGCTGAAACAGGAAATTGAGGAGAAAGTGAGCCAAAAAAAGTAGCAATCTCTTATTTGGTTTGTGACTTTCAGGAATTGAATGGGAGAAAAACAGCATGGGTCTAGATCTGTATGACTGCCGTAAGCGAGGCTGGTAAGTGGAATCGGATTTTCTCTTATTCAGAATGTCAAAAGTCCTTCCCTAAACTCTTGCTAGCAACCTTTCATGTCCTTTTTGTGGGTTGTTTCCACAAAGCTAAAGGCCCTGATGTACAGTATGTATAAATCAGCCTGTAGACTTGACTCTGTGTTCTGTGATGGAATACTATGAAACCGGAAATCGGAGGGGGGGATTGGGACTTTGTTTTAAGCTTTAAAATATGTTACATTGAGTGTAAAAGGTAATGAAAATAATAGCATATTGTCTATCACAAACTGCATAGCCAGTAAATGTTAGATTTTCTTACCCATAAAAACTGCTGGGGTGGGTTATTTTAGCCGCAAATTCTTCAACCTTGCAATTGCGCTTAGCCCAACCAAGCATGATGGGTTAATACATCAACCACAGAAATGAAAAAAGAATTCTTAAAACAAGTGTATATGTCCTCCATGGAACAACTAAGGAAAATTACCTGTGTTTACCCATCATCCAGCGTCAAGTGGTTAATTATGATGACAAGTGTAAATCACAATATAAGCATGCTCTGAAAATTTGGTCATGCTTGGTATGTAAGCCAGCATGAACTTATGACATCACAGCAAATACTTACATTGCAAACTCCCAGTAGCTGAACCCATTTGAGCTTGGCAAAGTTTTACACAAATGCTTTGTTTGTGTCATGTTGAGTATCAATTTGCGATAATATGTCCACCCTCTCAGCACCAAACAATCCTGGCCTTAAATCATAAAATCCCTCTGTGTCAGAGATTCCATGCTGCTCAGAATCCAACAGGAAATCACTTTGAGAGTGCCCTATAGTAGAGAGATTGATTTTCAAAAATGCTTAATTTTCTCCCAACTGGTTACAATTTCTGGTCTTCCAAGAAATAACTTGCATGTGACAAACATGTTGCGGTGTCTCATCTATTTCACTGATGAAGTTACTTGTGGCAGTTCAGGATCACTCCGTCTGCAACATGAGATCTCCCGTCATGTTGAATCATGTGCAGAGCAAAGAGACATTATATCCGATGGTAGACAAATAAAACGAGATGTACTTCAAGCATGGTTGAGATTCAGTGTCCCCTGTGGGATGAGACTCAAGGATTGTACGCTCGGGTGTTTTGACAAAATTAAAAGGCCTCTGTGTAGTGGTAGTACCAACAAAACAGAAAGCATTTGTGGAGGCAGGATTGCTTTCTGCCATGGTACATGTAGATACATATAAATGTACAAGTTCATTTATTATTACAAGGTTTTGACTGTTCCTCTTTCCCTCAAACAAATAGACTCATTGATGCAAAAAGAAACAGACAAATGAATTACAGGCTGGCATTTATTGATGAGATCAAGCAGAAACTTTTCTTGGGCTTATCAGAATGTAGCTGAATGGCATGCAGCAATACTATTGCGTATTTTTTTGCTGGTAACCTTTATGCACCACTGTAGTTGTCTGTCTCTCCATCCACATATCCTTTCCCTCTCCTGAAGCCTCCATCCCTCAATCTGTAACTGGCTCCTCCATATGTCGAAGGGTGTTAACGTCTAAACATTTGCTGACACACTTGTTTGCTTTCTCTTCAGCCTTTTAAGTTAACTCTTAAAGAAAGTGCACTAGATAGGTCATAAGCATTTTAATCTGCTATTGAATAAAAGCCCCATGGCTGTTGAGATTGACAGGGTATAAAAATGCAAATGCTCTTGGAATGGCTCTGCAAATTTACCAAAGCCATTGGGATAAATGGGTCACAGTACCCCAGAGCTAAAAACTGTCATGGTGCAGGTAGGTGTCATGTGCATTCAACTGTCTGCCATAAAGTGAAGAGGGGCTTTTTGTTGTTTGAAATGTTTGCTCGAGTTAAATGAGGTAAACCACTTCGTCATAAAAAACCTTCCCTGAAGAATATGTCAAGAGGGGTATTTTCTGAAAAGATTGGGCTCATCTATTACTTCTCATTGAGCCTGATGCCCCTTGAAAAGGTGAAGCACAACAAATGCCCTTGTTCTTGACTTGTTCAGTTGTGGCAAATATTGAGCAAAAGTGCCGAGGGCTTAAGGTTACATGCAGTTTATGACCTTTTATGTACATAAAGTCAGCTTAGATGAAAATCCAACAGATCAACTCATTGCATAAAACACATCATAGCTTTCTTTGATGTTTATGGTGGCATGGGATGTTCATTTGAATATTTAATTTTGTTGAAGAGTCTTAAACATTGCTGGTACCATGCATGTAGCCTAGCTCTCTTAATCACGCTTCAGTGCACAGGCAAGCATTGTTGTGTAAATATTGATTTTGTCTTTATGTCTAATATGTGAAAGTGGGTTACTTTAGTGTGAATGATAAATGAATTAACAGTTTCAGTGACAATTTCCATGCATTGTTTCTATGCAAGCTGGACATGATTTTGAGTAATTTTCAAAAAGAAAGTCAATTCTAATTTCAAGCAGTGTCCTCTTTGAGTTTGTTTCAGTTACAATGCAATATTTCCTCACATGATGTAACAGACAGTTTTGGAAGTGTTGTTATGTGTTGCTGATTAGTTATGTGATACAGAAAATAATTTTTCATAACCCACTTTCCTGGCAGGAATAATAATTTCATAGGCTGAATTTCATTCTTGTGTCTACAGCTAAGTTGACGTATTTACTGATAGCAAATGCCTGGGTACTCATGGTAGACAAATTAAGCTGGAGCCCTGGATTCTGGACAGCCTTTTCACTATGGGCTTTTTTCAAACTAGTGGATTCGGCTTAGACTTCAGTTTTGCTGGTTCCAGTCATAGCTTTACCACGTGGCTTTGGACACTGCTTCAAAATGGCTGGAACCAGCAAAACCAAAGTCTAAGCCGAATCCACTCCTTTCAAAATGCCCTGACTTCAGAGTGTACTTTTCCAGCTGTATCAGGACTATCAAATTGCCTCTAGCTGTGATTGAATGGCTTACATGCTCCCTCAGAATATACCATACCTTGCCTGAGACAGGTCTTCTTTGCGTCCATCTCTTAATGAAGATTTCTGTTGCACAGGGGGAAGCTTGAAGCAGAGCGAGTCTCGTACAAGTTGCAGTCATTGATGGATTTAATTGTTATGGAAATGTCTATGGCACAGGTCACTTAATTTCTCCACAGCCTTGCAGCCGTGCCCATACTCAACCTTGGAAATTAAACCATTTCAATTATTACTCAGGCAATTTTTTGCTGGTGCTTTGTCAGCTATCGTAAGAGATATACTATGGTGTAAGAGCCACTGACAAGGATTTGTCACTTGTTGGCTTGTCGTAAAAGCTGCATGGAATGTAGAGTACTAATTTTATTTCCATGGTTGAAAAAACCAGGGTCAGATAATGTACTTTTTGCTCAAAAGTGGTACCCGTATTCTTGAAATTCCATACGCGGTGACTTAATCAATTCTGTGTAAAGTTTAACTATGGCAGTACAGTCTTTTGAACAGACATATGCTCCAATTCACATTGAGCCTTTTTTTTCCCCAACTTTTCAACCCTTTGTATTATGCAAACAAAAGATAACCTTTAAAATTGTCTTAGAGCTGAAGGTGATGAGTTTAAGAGGCATGATGTCCTTGATCAATTTCTGAATTGCCAGAAACAAATTTTCACACTGAAGCCGTGAAACATGGATTGTAATAAGTAACCTCTCATCCACATAAACACGTAAATCTTGAAATTAAAAAATCATGAGATCCTGGTGTAATCAGCTGTCATTAGCTGTGTATTTATTGATTAATTGTCTAATTAATTTAATAATTAAAAGGCTAATCTTAGTACACATTGCCATGTCTGATTTGACTTGACCACTTATCAATTTCAGTTGAGTGGAAAGATATTTGGATAAAAGTGTAGGGCAGGAAATTCTTGCTTCAAGTCACACCCAAGGAAGCTTGTGAAGTATGTTTTTTCTCACAAGCCTTCAAGAAAGCACCAGTATATGTAATTCTCAAATAGATGTTAAATAAGAGATAAAACCAAGACAGTTTGAGTAACGGAAGTCTAACCACCGACTTCTAATGTCATTTCAGAAATTGCACTCAACAATTACAGTGTGACTCATTTCACTCCTGTATCTTGTCAATTTATTTCAGTTAAACCTGAATTTTGTTGTATTTTTTGTTCTGTGCTGTGCCCTCGGGTAGGTACATATCTTCAGCAACTTCGCCCAAGGATGTCGTCATCCTTATTGACACCAGCGGGAGTATGACCGGCTCGCGCATTAATGTGGCCAAGCATACCGTCAACACCATCATGAAAACGCTGGGAGATGATGACTTCTTCAATGTCATCTCGGTAAGTTTCTCACTTGCAACTCTCACGTCAACAAATGTGCCTACTTCTTGCCTGCTCACGCTTATTTGGTCTCACACTGCAGGCTATTGGCTGTGTGCCCAACGTAAAGAGGGCGCTGGTTAACTCAACAGTGAAAGAGCAAGGCTGTATACCTGAATTACTTGACTATGGCTGGGAGTTGTGCATGGGCCAATGGGATCTGGATGAAGCCACTCGCTGGCATGTTCCAAAAAGGCACATGTGTTATATCCAGTCACAGTCATGGCCACAGTTATGTCACCCAGACTTGCAAGCCAAGAATAATGTTCTGTATTAAATGACTGACATTAATTACCTCCATGTTTATAGTTGAAGCTAGTTATATTTTGGTTAGTTAAAAATACAGTGCCTGCATGTTTTTAACCTGCTGTAAATGGGTGTTGGCATCCAATCCAGAACTAGAAAGTTGTTGATCATTTTCTTGATCAGTTCTGTGTTGATGCTTGGGAGTATTCTCATGCCATGATATTCAAACCAGGTTGAGTATTGCAACCTTCACAAGTCCAGTTCTTAGCAGGGGAGAATGAAATCTCCAAGGCTTTCAAGCAGTTGTTTGGAGAAAACCCAGTTCACACTTTTCACGATGCGGTTTTGCAAAGTGTGAAGGAGTAATTTTTTTGGAATTAACAGTTGGTTATTAAAAGAAAACAAGTAAACATGTTCCATCCACAATGAATAATTGCACATGCACTTGCACATATTAAATTTTCCAAGCACTAAGTTTGTCAAGTTGACAGAATTGAACTCATTATCGACTTGTCCCATCTAGCTGCATTTATTGCCACATCATTTGATTACTTTCCTTTCTGATTTCAGAGAATAGAACAGCAGTCCAGCTGTTCTTACTTTTTGTGAGAATCATCAACCTGAACAAATTCTACTCTGTTTGTACAGATGCATCTATTTCATTGCGCATATTTGTGACAATTTTGCCACAAACACTGTCTCTTGTTCATTGTGCATGTTTTCAATCACAGCCCCAGCAGATTGCTCTGAAGAGCAAATTTGCCCTTACATATTGGTTAATCTTCTTTGATGGTGACCCCTTTTCTTCTTGCAGAGAATTCCCTCATCTAATTTGTGGCCCTGTTCTTGATTAATTTGTAGCCTGGCTGTACATGAGCTGTCCTGGTTTTGTCATTACCAAAAGCTTCCTGCCCTACTTTCTTCCATTAAAAAAATATATATATAAAATTGCCTCCATGAACTGGTCATGTTTTCTATTAAAAGAATCCAATATATGCCATTGTGCAATTTTGTCAGATGAAAGAATAGAAGATGTTTTGTTTATTAAAACCCTGAATGTTCAAGCTGGTTTGGTGAACTGACCTTGAATAAAACACCACTGAGAGCGTTTAGTCCATTTTCAGTACTGTAGAGAATCAGGGATTTTATTAAAGGGATTGGGGTGGCAGAGTTATATTTTTTAACGAGAAGATGGCTGAAGTCAACACACAAATGCACCAAGACCAAATATGAACATTTAGCAGATTTGTAGTAGCATGGAGCTATCAAACACAAGAAGTTAGAACGAAGTCCCTACAGACTGTTATCTGATTAACTGCTCCTGTCGGCTCCATAGACAAAGCGCGGTTACCCTAGACATTTTTTGTACACAGTGATCGCCACCGCTAAGTAGCTGGTAACACAGACTCGCCATGTTTCACTGTGGCGTACTGGAGTAAATGAATGATGGAAAAGATGCACGAAGAAGATGAACAGTTCTCTTCAGTAGTCCTCAGGAGTCAGCGAGTGATCTCCGCAAATGCGCTCGAAAATTACAAATCAGCGGTGGTTATTTGGACATTTTTAAAGTCAGTTATGACATTTTGCATTTTTGGCGTTAGAAAACAAATACCTAAAATATGAACTGTGATATTGATATCATAAGTCACAATCCTAGTGGTTCCTACAGATAAAAGAAGGTGGAAACATGCCGCAGGGATGCATTTGACAACATTGTGAGGTTTCATGCCGAGACAGTTGTGGACAATGACAGAAAGGACAACAAATCTTCCCATGTTTTTGTGTGTTTTTTATTTTCCTCTGAACCAGCTACATTCTCTCAGTTTTCTTGTGCGTATTTTTTGGAGAATTTGTATTTGTTAGTAATTCTGTTTATTGTTAAGAGAGACGCTTTGGGGATGTAAAGATGTAATCAGACTTTCATTGTCATTGGAATATCAGAACAATTACTAAAATTATTGAAATTTAAGTCTCCGATGACGATGGTTTCCGTCTCAAGGCGGCCATGTTGAACATGCGGAAGTGTTACGGACACGCATGCTCGATACCCACGATCCTTTGCAAATGCAACTCAGAGCATTCCTTGTAGCCTGCAAGCGGCACAGAATTTTTTTTGTCCTTGCAGCATGTGCAGTGCTGGCGGTGGCCATCATTGACCCTTTGATCTCTGTATGTGCTGACTCCTTGTGTTTAATAGCTCCATTTTAGTAGTGTATGGTGTTGTTTTAGAGAAGGAAAGATTTTCAAGTCAGTTGTAATCATCCTGGTCGGATAGAATTTGATACAAGGATTGGCAGCAATCATACATTTCACAAGTAACAGTTGCTGTGGTACCAATTTGCAAAGAATTGAAGGAAACCGGATGATGTTTGACAGTAAGATCGTAAGATCACTGTCTTGCCTCTTTGCTTCTCACCTCAGTCAAATTGTTCAGGCCAGCTTTGTTGCATTGTTTACAGCGAGGCCGTTCTCTTGACCGGTGTCAAGGACAGATTTAATTTGTGTTTGGAAACTGTTGAGAGGTTTTAATGCGTCCATCTCTGATTGAATTTATTTCTGTATTGCTGCAGTTTGGAGATGCCACGTCATTCATCCAGCCATGTTTTAATGGAACTCTCGTCCAAGCCAATGCAGATAATAAAAATGTAAGTCTGTGCTTTTGAAACCAATTTAATGGATAGGAAGGATTGAATTTTTAAGAACACGTGAACAAAAGTCACGTTATCTTGCCCCGTATCCAAAGAGTTCAATTTACTGTCTTAGCCCCAAGGAAGGAACAGTTCACGCTGTTACCTAGGGAAATGAATCAATGATTCAGAGTTTGTGACAGATTAAAAAGGTGTTGATAACAAACTGTCACATTCCCCAGTTTCCCACCCAGAAATATGACCCTAAGTGGTAGTCTAACACACAAAAAGACAAGATATATTTCCGAGATACCAGAATTCTCTTTCTAAATTCAAGTTATGTGCATTCATTTACACGTTCAAGGGTCCTTGTTTACTCTTACATTATGCATTATTTACGAACTTCGTTCTCCTCTTGATTTGTTTTCAATACTTTTTTTTATAAGCTTCACTCATTTCCTCAGGTCCACAATACATAATATCTCATCGACAATATGCCATATCTTAACTTTGTACAATATTGAAACATTATCTGAGTGTACTGTGGGCATCGCTTCAGCCTGCAGCCTGCCTCCTTGACGGTTGTGACGTCACGGTCTCTGGGCCTTGCTCATGGTGTTCTGGCCAAGGGGGAACTGGCTCTCCTTGAGTGTGCCACTAACCCTCGCCCGACTAGCTCCCGTTACTCCGTCTCTCACGGAGGAACCCTAAATAATTATTAGTGATCACCCACACTTAATATCCAATGCATAAATTGCTCATAACATCAGGCAAATTATTTTACAATGAAATGAAACTGAGGTTTTGTATGATATTCTCCAACTGGTTCCTCTATTACTTCTTAATATGGTATTCCTTTTAATACACTACATAACTGGTATGTCCAAGAATTATGGAATTGTACAATTATAAATCTTACAGGTCTTAAGAGTCTTTCAGGATGACTCGACATGTAAAATCAAAAGAAAAAATAACGGCAATTTACCGCAAACTAACTGTGATGGTCGTATATCTTGTGCAGTGGGCGTGGTTTGAACTGAAGTGGCATCACACTTACGAACCAGATACTGCATGTACTGTGTCGACTCTGTGGGCGCACGTGACAAAGTTCAACACAGAGAGCCTCAGTTTTGATGCAGATATGCGCAGACAGCGCTAATGTGAAATCCCTCTATACACTTGGCATCAAAAGGAGTACTGAAGTTATACTTCCAATACGTTGGTCATAAAAAGGATTTTACAGTCATAAAACCCATACAAATATATAACAAATATGACAATAATCTCCCAACAACATTTCACCTTGTTACACCAACTAATCACTTGAAGGTAAACCTTGGGCCACTCAACTGAGTGAATTTTGATCTACATCATCACCTCTCTGGCTGTAGTCATGTACAGTTTATTTCTAGTCTATTTAGAATGTATCATCTCGAAAAGGTCATCATTAAAACATGCCCTCTGACTCTTCTTTTTTGTCGGAATATAGAAGATACAATTAATTTACATAGTTATTTTCTCTGTCTGGTTTTGAAAAATGTGATAATTCCTGTTCTTCGTGACTGTCATAGTCCTATATTTTCCATTGAGTACATACTGGTAATTGGAACAATTAAAAGAGTGCAGTTGTAAATTAATGAAGTCACGACAAGTGTTTGTGTCTGTGAATTTGCAAAAAGTTGAACTCACTCAACCCTGGTAAGGTTTGCCATGAGTGCCTCTGGACATCAAATTTGATTGGAACTCTCTGGCCTTTTAAAGTAAGGGCCTTGTTCAGCTGTGGTGCTGAAGATGAGGAAATCTGGTAACTGCCAGGGGCAATTTTTCATAGCTGTGCAAATACCTTCAGTTAGGACTACACTGCCCCCAACAACTCACGTCATTTCTTTCTTTGTAGTTATTTGTGTTTTTTGTCAAATTGTTTTCCTCATCTTACGTGCTTGCCCTGCAGTCATTGTTGTTAATGTGCTGAACTTGTGCAAACAGGAGCCAACAGACAATGTTAGTGTTCCTTTTGCCATTTTTTTGCCTTTGTCTATTCATGGCATCACACAAAGTGCATCAGTGATTATTAGCGGTACATCAGAGAATTTATAGCTGTGTACAGTATGCACCTTACACTTTAAACTCTTCATTAGAGGATTATTTTCTCCCCTTTAATATAGCAGTGAATAGCAAAACGTGACTTCCCTTGGTTGGAATTGTCTGATACTTTATTTTCTACTGAAATTCCAATCTGAAGAAATGACTTCACTGAATTGTAAGAATTGTAAGGGAGCATTAAGTCTGTGTGTTTCTTAAGGAAAATGTTTTCAACTCCAGTCGATTTGTTGTATATATTAAGGACAGTGATTTTTGCCAAGTTTCTTTTTGAATGTTGTGTTTTCAAATTTAAACATGGCAAAATAACATTTTGTCTGAAAATCTAAGAAAAAATTCTGCACCATCTGTTCATTTTATTTTAGGGGAAATGGGTCACAGTTTATCTTTTCCAAACTTGTTTTTATTATTCCGCAGCTTATTGAGCAAGGTCTGAAACAGATGGCAGCTCCCAAGAATATTGCAAACTTCCAGTTGGCACTGACGGAGGCATTCGAACTCCTGGAATCTGTGAGTGCATCAGTGGCCAGGGTTCATGCCCTGCTGTAGTGAAATTCCCCTTACCTCTTAATTTCCACACTGTCCAAGGTTCATATCCCTGGACCACTCTCTTTTCTCCCGAATTGCTAAGCTAAATGTTGGCTTAGCAGAGCAAGTTTCCAGGTAAAATGTTATGGTTTGTATTTTTTTTTGTAACTGATGCTCAGCTGAATGTTGCTTAGCACCATAATTCACCAAGCAGATTTCCTGCTGAGTAACTCTGTGAACTTTGACCCCAGTCAAGTGACATTTTCCTAAACTTTAAACGTAAACTGTTTTCTTTTCAGGGCTGCAGTGGTTATTCAGGTATTCCATTAGTCACCCTCTTTGTTATTAATTCAGTAAGTTTCTTATTTTTGGTTAAATGGAAAACCACTTTTGCAAATTAAGGCTACTTTCCAGAGGTCATAGCAGCATATGGCTACCCCCCCAAAAAACATTTTCATGCAGTGAGAAACTCTATGAAGTGGAACAAACACGAGATAAATGTTGATGGTTTGTAGGAGTTCCTGGAAATTATACAAGTAATCAGCCGTTGGAAAAAAACATTTTCAAAACTGTTCAGTGAGTTAAATATTGTAAACAAATTTCTCCATTTTTCTTGCGTCTTGCCTGGAAGACACATATTGATTTTCATTTTAGATGCTATTTTGATGGCTATGGTTTCCATCACAATCTTTTGAAACATTGATCTGAATGAGTAACCCCTTTTGCAATCAATATATCTTGTCCCGAAGTGATGGACTAGTGTGGATATCTGCAATAGCTTCAAACCATCAGTGGAGTAAACGACTCTTCATGGTGAAATCAATGACATGAAAATTGTGCCTACTACACCCTAGACTTCCGAAACCCCATGTCATTTGAACCAGGAAGCATAGTGCAAATGAATGGAGTAGCCTACTTGCGCATGATTCACATGCTGGTTCTCTCTCTTTTGCTATTTACACAGATAAATGTGCGTGTAACGTTCACTTCAGTACTTGAGTATGCTCTATAGGTGTATGGTATTAAAACACTCATTTCATTATTGGACAGTTTGGATTGAATTACTAACAAGGGTGTCCTTTTCTATGATATATTTGTCATGCTGACAAATTACGGATTTTCGAGAGAGTGCCATAATTACCATGACAATTTTGCTGAAAAATTCATGATAGTGGGGATGAGTCATGAATTCCTCTTTTCCCTGTACTCAAATTTTATTGACTTTTTTTTTTGATGCGCTTCATGGAAACAAGATCATAACCAAATTCCAAGGGCTGTTTCAAAATTCAAATTTCAGAAGGAGAGTAAATATTTGCTTCTTGGTTCTTTCCCGAAACATTTTGGATATAAATAGTTATATCTTTTTTTGTGTGTGCAACTTTGATGAAATGTTCCTGATTAAGGTCATTACTTACAGTTTTTATTATGAGATATTTGGGGCATTTTTACATTCACTTTTTGATATTGTCTTGCCTACACAGTTCCAAAAGCTAGTTAAAAAAGTAAGTGAACTATTCAGTTTTTGAGCACTTGGGTCTTAATCATGCACAGTGCTGTATCATTTGTTAACATTGATCATTCCTTTAGGTGTTAATTCTGTTGTTTTCATTTAAATTGAGACAACTGGAAGTTGGTTAGAATCCTCTGTCATTTAAATGGTTGTTAGTCAAGTATCAAAACTTATGCAATAGTATTTTTCAAACGTATTCTTATCTTGAAATCTACACTTCTTACAGAAAATGCATAGTTCAGATCAAATTGTTTTTGGAAATGGTGCAGAGAATATATCTATTTTGAAATGTTTTGTTGTGGGGAAAGGTAATATGTTTCAGAGAAAGGAAGTGCATTTTGGAATCAATAGCCAAAAATGTGGGAAGCACATATACACTCACAGCTACTTTTCAGTACTGAAAGTCCTGGAGGGCCTGGTTACACATTGGCCTCAAAGATTTTTCCCCCGTATGCCAAAGTGCTCTCTTAAAGAGAGCCTAATGCCCACTGTATGTAATTTATAGGGCTAACACTTTGAGCTCTCCATGCTTTCAGCAACTGATTGTGACAGAGGTGGTAATGGGGCTCATTGTCTGTTCAAGTATGGTTTGTCATCTGCGTAATTGGGAGAGAGGGGCAAGTTGTGAGGTACCAGTTTTACTAGAGATTCAGAACCCAAGAGAAATGCCATGCAGGCTTAACTTTGACACATTCATTTGCAGTGGGTCTAAATCATTGACATTTGAGGGGATTTCTTTGATAGATGTGTGATGGGTTAGTTTTCCTTTCAATAGCAGGTACCTGGTGAAATGTTTGTTATGTACTTTATGAAGGTAGGCGAGAACAATTCTTTAGATTTTTTGGACAGGACTTGAACGTCTGTTTAGCAGTGGAGGGTCTGTATGGTACGCACTTGACCACTTGGAAACTCTAAACACATCAGTTTGATTCATGTTAATTTTTCTGTGCAGTCCACAACCAATACGGGTGATTCACAATAGTGTGCCTCCAAGAGTTTGCAATGCGTTGGCTAATCACAACACGCGAAATGTGTCGACTTTTCCCAAACGCACAGTGGGTCAACAGATTTTGCGCATTGTGATTGGCTGACACGTTGCAAACTCTTGGAGGTGCGCTATTGCAAAATGCCTGTATTAAAAATTTTTTTTTTTTCAAGTGAAACTGACTCTTGGTTTTGTGTCGGTGTTTCATATCATGAAGACAGTGAACTGAGCAATTTTAATTGTCTCGCATATACCACATTGATTCCACTATACCCGTAATTAGAAGCCATTTACTGTGGTGGCAGGTGGTATGCGCACGTTACATTCCTCTTTGACCAGTAGGGTGTTGTAATTTCCCACGGTGTCACCGCAGTTATGGCATCAAATTGGATTAGTCTACAGGAGGTAGCAGAACCTGTGTCAGTTTTCTCTCACATCAAAGTTTTTTTTCTCAGAGGGCTCTCAAAATTGCATGTTCTTTTTTACAGCATTCACAGATCCAGCTGTTGTTATTTTGTACTTTTGTTTTGATAGTTCAATAACACTGGTTTGGGAGCTCGTTGCAACCAGGCGATTATGTTGATAACAGATGGTGCCCACGAGACCTACGAGGAACTATTTGACAAGTATAATGAAGACCGACATGTAAGTTTTCAGTGTTTTACAAGAAGTTTGATTTAATGTTTGTTCTGATTTTTGGCCACTTCAGTATCATGAAAAGCATAAAAATAAAATATCTTCATGCTGTTTAAAAAAAAGTGTTCAAAATGGAAACCCTTTAGCTTTTGAACTGCATAATACTTTGGTTCTCAGTTTATCTTATCAGTTTTTACTTAAGTGCTTTGACATTGATGATGTATCAGCTTCAGAAAAATACTAACAATGCTTTATAAATACTGGGACAGGTTTTCTATTCCTATTGGTCAACATGTGTCACGTGACTGTGAATTAACATTTGATAATGCCCAGTAAGAAGCGATAATGCCCGCTGCGTAAATCACACACTGGCACATGGATACGAGACGTTTTATCTGGTCTGATTGATCAGGAGTCTGTGAGCATGCAGCGCGCCATGCGCGCGACACTTTCATTGAAAGGAATTCTGTTGGACAACTTTGAAAGGAATGTACCATAAAATGGATGGGGTGTTTGAGAAAATGAACGTAAAGTGTTAGAACAAAATCATTGGAAATCTGTCACATGTCAACTTCTTTTGACTATCTGAATAAAAAGGTATTTATGAATTGGAATAAATTTTTGCTTGGCTAGTCTTAAACAGGAGAACGAACGTTGCGGCTCAGGTATTAGTCGTGTCCGTTTTTCTGAGCCGGTGTTAAATGCACGTTTAAAACTGACCAAGTACATATTTATCTCCTTATTAATTTTGACATTTGAGCAAGCCGTTGTTTTAATTTCAGGACAGTGTGAAAGTGTGAAATTTGTGATATTTATTGTCATAAAAATGTTCATTGAGAATTGTTTGCTTCTAGGTACGCGTCTTCACATACCTGATTGGGGCAGATATTAAAGATGATCCCAATGTACAATGGATGAGTTGCAACAACAAAGGTAACTCATGGGCTTTATTTTGTAACTTATTATCAAAGTGCATATAACTAGAAAGGTTTTCATTTGTTTCTGGTCAAATGGTTATGCCCTCATCCTGTAAGGGTTACGGCATTGAAACGGACCAGAAGTGGAAGAGCTGTGCTTTAAAAAATCAGGGGAAATGTGATCAGCCACAAGTTGTCATATCTTTACCATACATCCTCTTCTGTTCTTGAGCCAATAAGTGTGCCTTTCATCACTGAAACTCGTAAGCTATGAGAATACTACTAAAACTTGGGGGTTGTTATTTTGATTAATGGAATATCTGACTTAAAATTTCAACAAATTTTGACATTTGCTTTGCAGGATATTACACAAGAATTGGTGCTCTTGCTGATGTTGAGGAAAATGCCTCGGTAAGTCTCTGTTATTGATCATTGATATCTATTTGCCAAAAAAGTGTTTTCTTCTAAAAACCATGGTAACTTCAAAATGAAAAATTTCCAACATTTTACCTCAGGAAAAAGATTCTGCCGGGATTGAAATGTTGGGCCCATGCACTTTTTAAATCCAAGATTTTCTACTAGTGCAACATTCCTCAATGCTGCTTGAAGAGACTGAAGTCTTTGAAGGGCATTAGATTACAGTGAAGAGCAGAACAGAGTTCCTGGAATGGACAGCGATAATAAAGCTTAATATGAGATGTGAAAAGAAAAAAGTGCACTGGATGGGAAATTGTGGAAATCTGATCATTCCACCTGTTCAAACTCAAGACCGAAATAACCCTTCTTGCAAATGAAGATTCCAGTGAAAGTATGGTAGAAGTTGGTAAAAAAATTTCAGGAACTTGAAAGCCCTTTATGAGGTACGCCTAGAGATGTTGGGTCTCCTGCTGTAACTTTACTTCAGGTTTTTTCTCAAAATCCATGGAACATATTGCTGCCAAGCGTATCTAGTATTTCTTATTCCTGAAATCTCAGGCAGAAAAGCCAGGGGTCACTTTAACTGCTTGATGAAGATCAGAGGCAGAGAGAGTCATGTGCCACTTCTTCGTCATTCATTTTCTGACATTTCTCTCCTGTTGCTAATCTTGATCCACCTGCAGGGTGTTATGCTCGAGTGCCCCATAGTGTTTTAAAACTGGAGGGCAGCTAAGCAAGATTGTGCAAATTGTTGGTCTTAGTAAGGACCCATATTTTGGAAACTTTGGATATTCAAAGGAATATTGTTTCAATTTGTGGCTTTTGATGAGAAAAACCTCACTTTGTTTGTTTTTTCGGGGGAGGGATGTTTGTGTAGAGTAAAGGATTGACTGTCTTCTCCTTTTTGAACAGAATCTTAATGAAGTGACAATTTTTATAAAATCCTCCATCTTCCAATCATTCCAGGAAGAAATGGTAAACAGCAGTTGTAAGAATTGTGATTGTTTAATTAATTCAATTCTGTAAGCTTCTTCACTTTTAAGCCTCCTCCAATCAGATCGGTTTCCCTTCCCCCTTACAAGCAAATATGATGTACCGGTACTCCACCTGTGCTTAACATTATACATTTTTTTGCCCTCTACGTCTTCTTGACATGGTACCATTTTATTAAAAGGCTGCGGTCATTTGAAAGGTCCAGCTCTTTTCGCTTGTTGTCAGGGACACTTTTAATGGACATTTCAGTAAATACTCTCAGTGCCAGTGTCATAGTTTTCGCATTCCCTTGAGTTGTTTTTGAGAGTAGAAATAGCGTGTTGTTTTGTACCTAAGCAGGCCCATTAATATTAATCTTGTTTTGTTGGAAAGAATGAAATCCACACGTATTTCTGTTGAGATTAAGATTCAATGACTTATAGTATTTGTTTCACTGCGAAGGACTAAAAGTTAAGAGGATTGCTCGGAACGGATTCCCAATGTGCTTTCAGTCAAAACATGAGAGAAAACAGTGGAAATTTACCACAAAAATGATGGCCAGGAAAATGGAAGTGTTTAAACTGCTTGGAGATTTGTGAAATATCCTACAGCAGTTATGATTTTGCCAACAAAACAAAAAGTGAGGATAAAATAAAAGCCAGGCAAGTGTAGCATTGTGCCACCTTGAGTGATTTCAGAAATGAGTCATGGTTGCCATGCTGATGCATCTTTTCCAATGTTACTAGCATGCCCAACTTGAGTCCAATGCATGATGCGAGAGCCAATTACAGTTCCATTAGTCATGGCACTGCCATTCTGGTCATGGCTCGGACCCCTCACTGATAACTCTAGGATTTGGTTAGCCGGATGCCATGCATAGAAAGGGGGGGTGGGGAATGGTATATGATGCCTTCTGATGACATGTTTTTTTAGAAAAGAAAATGACCGTTTGGTCCATTGTATACACCAGAACAAAATAGAAAATAGTGAGAATTTATAATTCATGAAGAACATCAAAACAGAAAATGCTAATATGCATTCTCCGGGGCTGTGCTCACCAGTGCATGGTGGATCTTTTGCCCTGTGGTGTTATTGCTTCATCATAAATGTTAGAATTTACTTCTATGTGCATTATGTTTGTCTTTCCTCTCGGACAGAAATACATCCATGTGTTGAGCCGTCCAATGGTCATCGAGCAGGACCACATCACGATTTGGACTAATGTCTACATGGACACCCTGGTAAATCAGGTTGCTCTATTGTTTGCAGTTTTACACCCAGACTCCAGGCATTGCATTGTGGCTCTTAAGAAAGAAACGCTTTGTCTAAAAGGCACAAACACATGACTCAAATAAAAAAAAACGACAGAAATTTGAATTTGTTGGGGTTGATAAGTTTCTGAGTGGATATTGAAGAAGACTGTGGCCAATTTGTGCCTTTTTTCTGAATAAATAATGCCTGAAATACTGGACATCAATAGTAAACTTTATTATGTCGAACCTGGACATGCAGCTACCATTAACAAATCTTCTCTTTAGCATATTAACAATCATAACCCTCATTTTCTGTGGCCGAAGAGAGCATATTGATATAGTATTGCACGATTTGAGAGGTAGATTTGTCAAAGTACAAATTATTATACGTAGTGAAATGAAACATCAAGCCTGTGGTCTCTAGAGAATGCTAGACTTCAAGAAATGTAGACAGAATTCTGTGTCATTTATAATTATAACTGCCTATCGGACAGGTGGGTCATACTGTATCAATTCAACACACTTTTGGACCTAACCATCCAGGATGGAAATAAAACTTGGTGTGCTATTGAAATGGCAAATGAAATCAAAATTATCCCACATGCTACCAAGAAATTATGCAAATATATGACCATATAAATTTTTGGTGATACTTGGAATAACTTTGATCTTATTTTAGAAATGAAGGCCATTTCAAGACCTTTACAATAATGTAACTTTTATCTCTGTAGGTGATTTAATTCAGGAGATATGGCTGTTCAAACAAAGCAGGTCAAGCAAATTAGTCAAGAGTTTGTTAACCCGTATCTCAAAAATAATGGACCGATTAATGTGAAATATCAGTTTTGGGGGGTTCTCAAGGAATCCAATCAGCACATCAACGTTTGTTTCAATCCATGTCAGTCAGGTCAAAAATCATGTTGCATTTGTTTTTTCCTTCACTGCATACCATGCATAAAAAGTGTCCAGGAGTATTGAAATTTGCTTCTCCTGAGATAAAAACCACTTTGTTAACAGCAGGCTGGTCCAATAGAAATTTTGATTGAAAATCATCAACATATGAGAGCAGGTGCTTTCACAAACCTACCTCTCTCTCAAAGTTCAAAAGTTCTGTCATAAGATGTATGTAAAGCCATACTGCAGTGCCTGCCTGTCTGGAGAAACAGTCCTCAAACTACCTTGCAAATTCAGCAAGACCTGCTGTTCCTGTCCATACATACCCTTTTTTTCCAGTTTAGTGACTTTTTAACATGTTCTTCATCAAGAATTTTTGAGATTGACAAAGCCACCAACTTCATCTGCTTGTCATCTCAGAACTATTTACAGAGCCTTTATTTAGTCTATCAGCCTCTTTATTTTTAAAACAACTAACACAAAAAATGGAAGTCAGAAAGAAAACCCAAACTTCAGTAAACCCTATCAGAGTTTTGTTCACTAATAGAAATATTTCACAGCTGCTGAAGGTGAGTAGGTACTGTGCTAGCTATGTGTTTGTGCATGCACGCTTTGTTAGACATTAAGTTAATACAATGCTCCCAATATGAATCTGCTTTGAGCTGAAGCACCTCCTCATCAGTTGATAAGAGCCAGGTTGGTAGGGAACGCTCATTTTGTTGGTAGTGATGTGACTGTAACGTCCATTTCATAATTGTTTGTGAACCGGCAAAGGAGCCTGTGTTGCAAGGAAAATTGCACCCTCTCTTGAGTTGGTCCAGCTTGTGGCCCGTGTGGTTGAGTCACAGAAAAGGAGTCATATGAGTAGCTAGTCGAGTCTTATTGAGTCTGATAAAATGAGGACTGAATACCATGCTCCCACTACAAATTGTGTGGTTGAGTTACTGACGAGGTGGAGTTGAAATCATTGCTGAGTTTCGTCACCAATGGAGATAAGTCTTAAATCAAGCCTGATCTCAGAGTAGTTATGCCTGCCATTCACAGCCGTCTTGACATTGTTTATGACCCAGGCTTTGGTAGTTGCTATACTTCTGAGATTTGTGATCTTGAACCGTGAACTAAAATGGATGTTAGAAGGCAAAAATCACACCAGCTGCGCCCCCCCGTCTTCAGAAATGTGTACCAGTATGACATGACCATGCAGTTCAAGAAGGAACTAGCAAACCTAATTCACATTGGTAAGGAACTGATAGAAATAGACATTAGCTGCAGAATATGAAGATGGAGGCAGAATGACTGATGAGGTGGGATAAAATGGCTGTTGCCAATGAGCTGTGGCGCTTGTAGAGCAAACGCCTTCAGGAGCTCGACAGGGCTCATTGATGCAAACAGATGAGGGAAAAAAGTGACCTCATCTCATCCTGTCTGACTGAGGCTGTGTAGCTCTTGCTTCAGAGAGAAACGAGGAGACTTACATTATCCAAGTTTGTCATCATTTCCTTGTTAGCAAAGGTTCTTTCTGGGACTGGATGGCAGTCATCAGAGGTTTAAAGAGTTGGAATTGACTTAGATTTTTGGTCATGATTGAGTGAACACTGTTTTACTGCTGAGTTCGTGGGTTGGCAGGTTCTCTAGTGATTCAAACTCGCTGGAAACCTTTCTCTCAGATCTTCATCAAACTTTCCACTCTGATGTCTGGTCATTGGTGTCGGTTACTCCACATTGATTGCTGCATACCTTAACTGCAAGAGTGTGAGTGCTCAGAGGGATTTTGGAAGCTTGGTCAGTGAATCTTTCAAATATCAGTGCTTGATTTCATTTATTTCCCTCCATCAAATATTCTTGGGAATCCCAGTGTTCAGGAGAGGAGAGTTGGTCTTGTCTAGATGATACCTCTTGCCAAAAACAAATCCCTTGTGAATCCATGAATTCTGTTGATGATATTGTGCATTGTTAGTGAGAAGGGCTTTTCTCAGGGTGTTAATGTCGGCTACATTTACAATTTTTATGTTATATTGTGGTGCTTATAACTGTGCTTGTTCGTGTGGAGGTTGAGAAGATTTTGACATTCATTTTGTGTAAGTCACGGCTATATATCGCAGTGTTGCATAGAATCTCAGCCTCACCACTGAATAATTGTAGATAGTTACAGTAGGTATTGTCTTTCATATAGCTCGTACATGTGAAGAGTAGTTATTTTATTCTGTTTGTTACTCTTGTTTTTATCTATTCTTGATATTTAATGACTGCCGTTGTTGGAAAGTTTGCTGTTGTAACATTTGATAGCATAAACCTAATATACTGTGAGATATTTCTTTAGCCATTTTAGATTTTTGTCCTAGTGTTTGTAAATTGAATGTTTTACCTGTGTGTAATTCATATGTTAGCTTTTTCTTCGAATTAATCAGAGCAGTTTTATAGAGCTTCAACAAAAAAGTTACTCAACAAAAGACAGGCTACTTGCCAAAAAGAAGTGCACTATATTTCACTTGTAACTCAGGTTCCCATTTTGTTGAACAAGGTCATGTATTTTCTGTGTCGAACAACTTCCCTTTAATATGCTTGGCAGCTCTATGAAACATGCCATTTTAGATTTCATTTTTGCAAATTTTGTGCTTTTCTTGAGTTTTATGTTCTTTTTTGGCTTGAATATACAAAGAGATTTTACTGCTTACATAGAGACTGACAGAAGTGACATTTGTTAATTGAAGTGATATGATGAGTGTTTGATGTTCAAGTGTCATCTACAGTACTGTACTGTACGTGCATGATTTGAGTTCCTGATTTTGGATATTTTTCATGCCCTATCTGCAAAGCCACAGGACTGTGCTGCTTCTCTTTTGTCTATAGTCCATGCATATTGTGGATGCTAAATACTAAAGGATCCATAGTTGACTGAACACTTGCAATTGATTTGTACAAAACTAAGGACTTTTTTTTTAGAAAAGCCTCCTCTGTGAACAGAACAGGAAAACATGTTTTGTTTGATTGCTGGTTTTATCCGCATTGAAACAAGAAGATCTGGCGTAAATTAGTGTTCATGATGTACAAGTATTGGTGAAAAGGTGTAAATTATTCCATTTTATGCTATTGCTGACCCTTTTCAAATTTACTTTCTTCTAAATTTGCATAAAAAAACAGCAAAAATTTCAGGTGAAATGTTTTGATTATGATGATAGCTCTCAATGTACAATGCCGTATCTTGCATCATGTCTAAGAATCACAAATACTCTGTAGATAAATGCGAGGAAAATGTAGACAAAACTCCAGGACGAAATCTTAATTCCAATACCTGTTTCTCTTGGAAAAGGGTTTACAACTGATGACAACTGTCTCTCAGCCTGTCTTCAACAAGAAGGAGAGCAATGTAAGCTATGCATTTCAAGTCGATCTAATGTACTTTGAAATGACGCTCATATCTGGGCATCCTCCCGTTCAAAAAGCCAGGAAATAATTGCATCGTTATTCATGTCAGCTTGAGTGGCAGAGAGATCCACATTTACTGCAGTGATGTATTGTGGGTGCACACTCCTAGATTATTTTCAGGCTCAATTTGAATGCTGAATGCGTGTTCTTGACGGTAATGCCCGAAGGATAGCTCATCTGATCTACCCCAGGAACTTTGAATGCCAAATGGTTTCAAATAAAATGTTCTCATTAATAACAAGAATTACAAAAATTCTGCTGGCAGTCTATGTTTTATTTATTAGTCACTGCTGAATGCCTTATCTGGTGTCATTGATCTTATGAAGAGGTACCCCCCCCTTCCAATTTTGCATTCAATTTTTTTTACATGAGAAAACTTGAGAAGTTAGTGATCTTTTTTGATAAGAAACAAAAAAGTCAGCACTGTTTCCCTCACTGGTGTCCAAACTTTGGCTTGCAGTCCTAAGCAAAAAACAAAGAAACAATTTTTACATTATTGGTAAGTCTTGCCTAAATTTGAATTGATCCATCTTTATGATTGCCTCTAGAGGGAGCAAGGTATCCTGCTTGGAGTAGCAGGCGTAGACGTTCCTGTGAAAGAACTTCTTAAGTTAACGCCAGCATACAAAGTGGGTAATATCCTAAATTTGTCCTGTGGTCTGAAAATGGTTAATTTTGGAAAGACACCAACATGAGCAGATGCATAAGAAATGCTTTGAAACTTAAGTTAGGATAGAGGCATTATCTTTGAGATTTTGCTAAATTTTGATTTTTCAGGAATTTTGACTTGTATATTCCAAATTTTAGTGGTTCGAATTTGCTTTTACTTCATTGTACTTTGTACAAAAACCCGCATGCAAGATTCACATCCTCGTAGCCATTTGTAAGAGAAGTCAAGCCTTCAGTTTAGCTATTGCAGAAAAGTTCAGAAAAGTCTTAGTATCTTATATTCATTGTTACAACCCCTCAGCTGGATGATTTGTGGATATTCTTCATCTCGCTGTGGGATTTGAGATGTATGTGTATAAATCTTGCTTTTTTATTGTTTTCCATTCAGTTGGGGGTGAATGGCTATCCCTTTGCTATCACCAACAATGGCTACATTTTGTACCACCCTGACCTACGACCCATGGGTGAGAATGGAGAGCTGAAGCCCAACTACAACAGTGTAGACTTGGCTGAGGTTGAACTGTCTGACAGAGATGAACAGGTGAGATTGTCGATGTCAGCCAAGTTTGAAATTTAGTGATAAAAATGAGTGTCAGTCAAGTCACTTCTCACTTTACCAGCAAGCCCATGTGATCTCCGTAGAATGGCCATTGTGATTTGAGAAGTGAAACGTATTCAGCAAGATGCCCCAAGTGGCTGGAAAAATGTCTCCTGAGATTTCAAGTCTTTGGACAATCTCAAGATCAGAAGTTAAAGAAAAACCCATTTCATCCATCGCCTTCATGATTATGATGTGAGTTCAGCAAAGCTAACAACTAAATCCAATTGGACCGTTTCTCTAAACAGCACTGAGACAACTTAGCAAAGTTCATTTGAGGATGCCACACTGTGCTTTATTGATTCCTTTTAGACCAGCAGTGTAGAATCAAGAAATCATCACCACAGAATAATATGCAGTGCTGTGGAGATTTTCCAACCATTTCCAAAAAGGGCTCTGGGAACACAATTTCTGTTTTAAGACATGAAAGTTTGAGTATTGAATTATAACTTATACATGAAGTCTGGTTTCACTTAGAGATTTCTCCATAAGTGTTGAGTTTGTATGCTCTGATTAACGGACCTAATTATGGATCATGTCATCATTGCAAGACAGCACTTGTCACTCCACTTTTTTGTTCATTCACTTATACTAATTTCTTTTATCATTTATCACACAAGCAACAGTGGAAGCGTAACAGTTTTCATTCATTTCTAGGTGGGATATGAGTGCTTGTTGATATTTGACTAATAAATATTTGTCTTTCTATTGAAAAAAAAAATGAACCCAAATTACAGAGGAGCACATCACCTCTTTCAGATCTCGTATTGCTGCACAGCAATTTGAAGTTACAGCTCAAAGAAAAATGGGGGAATTTTGGAAACATTTGATTAAGTTCAAGTGCTTCTTTTGAATGGCTGATAAATGGATGCCTGTATTTTTGTAGCAACTAGCCAGGCATTTGGGGGTTTAAATATGCTACCCCCAGAAAAGTCTGACAGGTTTGGTGAATGATGTTTGATTTGCATGGTTAAACATAAGAGTTGGGCACAGTTCTTAAATCTGATGTGCATCAAAAAAAGTCTCTGATGAGCAGTTTGTGGAATTTTCTGTGGAAAATATCTGTGCCTTAGTTTAATTTACTGACCACAACAAGCACTGCGAAAAACTTCAATAGGCAAGAGAAACCTTGCTCTCCCCAAAGGCTAGTTTTCAAAAAGTCAAAATTCCTCAGATATCTGTAAGAAAAATCTGTGTTTAAAAATAAATCAAATGATTATTTAATGCAAAGCTCATGAAGTCATTGAGATGGGCAGCGAATGAACCTGGGATGTTATATGTAAAATAAAATGAACGCAATGCCAGTCAAGAATGAGATATGGTGTTGCCACTTCATTGATTCCAAATTAGCATTTTATTCACCAAAATTTTGTTTTTTGGGGGGGTCATATGCACTTTACACCGACATCCACACCATTTTGTGTCATGCTCACAGTTCACAAATTGTGCCTTATAATTTCTTTTTTTTCCCCTGCCTATTATCGTCATCATCTTCATCACTAACATCATCAGGAGTATGAAAGAACGTCTCTAGAACTAGATCAAAATAAGGTGATGGTATCAATCTGCACTGGTGTCCCCTTACCCCCACGGATTCTTGGATGACCCCTACCCACACTCTCAAATCCCCATCATGACCTCGTTGACCTCACCATTCAATTTTCATTTCATCGGAAAAGTTGTCTGTCCTTTTTCAGGGAACAAATCATGCAGTGATATTTATCAGCATGTGTTTCTATAAAGTATTCGTAAAATGGCACATAGAATTCTCCGAAATCACTGTCATATCTCATTCCATAAAATGAGTGAATATTTGTGCAAAGTTGGAAATCCTGAAACTTTGGAAACCAGGATTAAACATTCCATGAATTGATTCTTGAAAGAACAGACATTTTTTTTCCAATTGATCTCTTCCTTAAGAATACACCGATGTGTCCCACCATGTAAGTAGTTAAAAACTATAATTATCCACACTTGGTCCTCTTAACAGGTAACACAGCAACCCAAACCGGTAAACCATAGTCAAACCACTTTCCTGAATGACTGTCCTTAACCACCCTCTCTGTTTTATAAATCGCTCGAAACCTTAACCTTTGAACTTTGACATCAACCTTGAGCTTGCATCATTAGAGCCTGCATCCTTCACCAGTAACACACACTGCATCGTGGATACCACTTTTTTCATTGTATCAGCCAGTGTTGAAGATTGTAAGGAAAACATGACTGTTTTAAGTCCCTGTCACAGTGATTCTGTCATCTCGTTAATCTTGTTCAATAGGATCACTCCATGCTTAAAATGAGTCACATTTCCTTTTTGCTCTTACCTGAAAGGATGATGCTTTGGTTGTTTTACCAAAATTCAGGCCAAATACTAAGGCGGACCCAGAGGGGCTAGACCTCCCTGGCAAGCAGCAGTCCTGCTCCCCCTTCGACAGAAACATAAAGCACCAAACTTGTCTATTGTTCTTGTGATGAGCCTCCGTAGCTGGTACTGAGGCCCCTCCATGCTTGAAGCTGGCTGGTTGACGGGGATGCCAGTATTTCATATCAGAAGCAAGGAGCTTGGTCCTGTTTTCTGTACAACCTAAAACACTAGCCATTCAATTGACAAAAATAGAGGTCTTTCCATACAAGGACTTTTTCAGCCTGGCCAATCTCATGCCTTTCATTAAACTTAAATGAACTGAACAACCAACTTGACCAATGGCTTGTTAACTCCTTCATAAACAAGGCTAGGAAAGAAGGCACTATAAGACCTAAGGCAAACTACCAATACACAAAAGTTTAGAAATATGATCATTCTGATTGGGCATGTTCAGTTCAAGCCAGGTTTAGCTTTGGTGGGAAAGACCAAAGTATGAAAAGACCTATTGATTGTTCCTAGAACACCATTAAATTCCCAGGATGTAGTCAGCAGTTGATATGATCTACGTAATAATCATCGAAAAGGTTGTTTGGGCATTTGAAATGGATTGAAACAATGTGATTCTCCAAAAATGTTTGTGTCCATTTTAACACCAAATTGATTTCACAGCTAGGAATTAGTATAGTAAAAAAAGTGAAACTCTTTACCAAAATTGCAAATTGAGTACATTTTCTGATTGGAATCAATTGCAGTTGTAGTTGGAATCCCTACTGGTCATTTTAGTAAGTCACGGTGTATATCATGCACAGTTGCCATGGTCTCACATCAACCAACTCGGTACCTTTCAGTAGAGGGCGCCATTGTGCATGGAGTGGATGCTCAGATGAATCGTACTTGAACGATTAAATTTACTGTACCAAGTTAATGAGAGATTGACTTTATTAACTTAAAATACATTTGATGAAACCAAAAACTATACTTTATAATAATTATTGCCAAAGATATTGCATATTTTGCTATAGATGAGTCTGATGGCCATTAGTAACTCTATCACTGGTTATTGCAACGGCCCTAGCTAGAAAGCATCGCGATAACTTTTTCATGGAGTCACTGTTCCATGACCATTGCTCTGTAATAAATCCTACAGAGTGCTTTCTGCCATTAATGGGCCCACTGAGGAATTTTGAGAGAGACATCACAGGATTTGTCTGTAGAATGTATTATATGATTATTGCATGTGTTGTGTGAATGAAAGATTACTGTTTTAAAAAGAGTATATTCCTTACAGTTAACACATCAGCATTATTATGAAAAAGAATGCACCATCCACCTTGAAGTTGTAGAGATATAAAACAGTTGTTTGTACCACACCCCAGTTATATCCTTTCATCAAGCAAATGTGAACCCCTATGGTGTTTCTGAACACTAAGCTGCTCTTTAAACAGGTGCTGCATGAATGAAATGTAAAAAAAAACTAGAAACCAGTTAAATGTACAATTGCATGGTTTGTTGCTGGAACACCATGTAGTTTAAGAAATTTGCAATATGCAACAGTGGTTAATTTGTGAATCCCACTCGCAAAGCTGTGAAATCCTGTCAAAAACAAACATCTTTGTAACAAAATAGTGGCCATTATGAGGAAGTCCTGGCTTCATTGCACTTCTTTGACTTGATGGCTTTGTAGATGGCACATCAACATGACCACTGCACTTCAAGGCAAAACACTCATTAAGCATAAGAGCCATCTGCATGATTTTTATTAACTCTGTCACCCAGACCAATGTTTTAATATCATGGCACTCAATTGCTTTTTGTCCATGCAATCTTTACATCTCATAAATGAATGAAATGTACATAAGCCTTTATTTACGGAGCTTTAGTCACTTGAGTTCTTTTCAGATATTTGTAGGAATGGATTGCTGACATCTTTTGCACGTTTGTCTCTAAAATTCAATGCCAAATTTAATAACTAATGGCAAAATTACATTTTTGGAGATTGTTATTTCTTTGTTCCTTAAACGGAATATTTTCTGTCATTTCTGGTCCCACAATGCTGGTTTTAAGAATAACCTTTATTATTATTTTACCATTCATACGGGCACAAGAGTAACAAAGATATAAGTGTTTCACTTCACCGTCTCTTCTGATGCTATGCTTTCTACAAACGTGTATTGTGTGTTATTACATAATTTGCCTTAGAACCAACCTTCTATCCTGAATGTAATCACTTACCTTGAACCTTCCTTTACAACTGAGAATAATTTCCAAGCATTCCAAATGTGTATGCATGTTTAACATTATTTTTAATGGTACAATTTTTTGTGAAAGATTGCTTTGAGGAATATCTGTCTTTTAGACACTGATTGAATGTGCTGTTGCAGTCTGTGACTTATTCTCCTTTTGTCTTTTAAACAGCTACGCACAGCAATGGTCGACAGAAAGACAGGCTACATGAACATGACAGTCAGGATACACTCCAAAGATATGGTAAACAAATCTTTTCTTTCTGAAAAAATGGCTCTTCTCTGGTTGATCAATTTGGATCAATTCTGTTTTTCAATGTTAGAGTTCACCACTGGGTTCACAATGTTGACCTTTATCACTCCCAACAGAGAAAACTGTTACATTTGCATAAAGATCTTTCACATAACATTGGCATTCACTTAGAATGAAATAAAGTCGATGTGAATTAACACAGAATATTTTGACATGTCTTTAAACATTTTTTAAAATACACCAATTATCTTCAGTGTGATGTTAAAAGGTGCCCATCGTGAGTTTTTAATTAGAAAAATGCATGTGTATAACTTTGCAGTGTAGGGAGCTGTGTCTCACATCTTGCTTTCTGAATAACTTGTAATATTACAGTGTAAACACGATACTCATGCCAGTGAATCCTAGTCTAAAAATAGCACATTGCAATAAAAAAACTAGGCCACGCTGGCTGGCACACATTGCAGTATAAACATTCACTTACACCTCGTGTTGAACTTCTTTCATTAGATATGTCCAAGCGCCTTTTATTGTTATTGAACAGAAAATTGCCCCTGTCCTAAATTTTTTGAGAGGAGAGGACAGGCTTTTCAGCAGTCGGCTGCATTACAGCCTCTCTCCCTCTTCCACCGACAGGTGGAATGATTTTCAAAGTGGGGGTCCAGTTGTTAAGTCCAGTGTCCAGTTGTCCAGCCATTAATAGGCTGATTCATTAAGCCCACCCCAGTATGGGCCCTGCAAAAAGTGGGAGGTTAGGACCCCCGTCGAAAAAGTGAGGTGGGGGAGGCCACTGGTCCCCCTGGCCCCCCCCCCCTGCTTATGGCGCCAGTACCCTCTTCCAAACATCTCTGGCCATCAAAGAAAGTAACTGTAATAGTAAACTCAGGCTTCTGCCTCTTTCTATACAATGCATTTTTCCCAACCTGAATATTTTTGACAGAGATTGAAACCAAACAGGGATTACCATTCTAATTTCATTGTATTTTTAATTGACTCCGATTTAAAAGTATACCTTTAATATGGCATGCAAATGATGTCTCTCTCATTTCACTTTTGGTTATATTTTTGCAGAAACGTTTGCATTTCCGGTTGAATCACTATTTCTATACAGACTTGGCCAAAACACCATTCAGGTATGTAACATGTAGGGAATGGGCATTCAATGCCCCCATGTCACTTGGGACAGTACTATACAACTAGTTTTTTTTAGGAGGGGGGCTTATGCAGGAGCATGCTTCGGTTCTGAAGATTGGACATCTAGACTGCATAGCATAGGCAGTAAGCACTTTGATAGTGATGCTGTGCCCTCTAAACACAAGCTTTGTCTTTACCCGAGAGCATGCCCACAATGTGATCAAAATGTACTCACAGTCAGTGAGCGACATTTGTTCTTGCCCGAGTATTTCTCACTTTCCTTTGTCTTAAAATTCAACCTGTACATCTTGTGTTCCTCTTTCTCTGTTTCTGAACAGCCTTGGGATTGTCATGTCGGACAAGGCCGGTGGCCTTAACCAGCTCTATGGATTTGAGACCTTCACTGTTCCCATTGCCAACAGCAATGGGAGTGCCGTTGGTGATCTTTGCTTACTAATGGAAGGTTTGTAGGAGGATAATTAAATCTGAGGATTCTGACAATTGATGGCAAAAATGCTCGCAGAAAAAAAATGAAACCTCAACAGCAGACAAACCAACTCTGAAATTTGTTTGATAGAAAGTTGGATTGCTAATCTTGCTTAAAGCTACTTTTTTAGGTTTCTGAAAAATCTCACATTCCTTCCCTTTTTTTTCCTGAAAAATGTAAAACGTAAAATAGTGAAAAAAGGAGACATTTCTAAAAAGCCTCAATGAATGACTTACATTTAACCTCTCTGTGCCTCTGGATCAACACACCCAGTGTTCTCGTTAAATGTTGGGTCATGCAGAAAGGTAGAAATAGGTAGAAGTTGATATCTTGTGACTCAAAACAGATTCTAACATCCCCCATTTTGTTCTGTTTTCATTTGCACAAGGTTTGGAAAATCTATTCAATGAAACTGAAGACACGATTCTTGCAAATTGGTAAGACTATTCTTAACAACAAAATTTAAGTTTTCGGGTTTCTTTGTTAGGAGTCTTTCTCTGAGAAAATTTGATGGCAAATATTCAAAGCAGCAAGGGTAACCATATTCAGAAATATCGTGTAGATTCCACTTGGTTACCCTTTTCAGAATAAAATGTACAGCCTGGCTTCGAATGAAAAATTGTGGAACTTTGTCCATTTGCTTTTTAGAGGATTTTCAGCCTCCCTTATTTCTTGTTTTCTCAATGTTCTAATTTTTAGGATTTTCTGCCAGCTGAATAACACTGAAGGCATGACCATGACTAGACCTCAGGCTCTGGAGAAGTACCTCCGAATAGCCATGGAGAATGGTGGCATCCTCAGTGAGAAATGTATGTACAGATTTCAGGAAACTTGCTGATTTGGGGGTAGGAACGTTGGCTGCTTCTTGATTTTTCAAATTTGTTTTAGCTTATGGTGGTTTGAAACTTTGATTTAGTAGTCAAGATTACTAGTCAAGACAATCTCAAGACAAGACGCAGGACCAGACACAAGTAATAGGGTGAACAATGACAAAGGTGTTTTGGTTGCAGTTCATTTGAATAGCTTGTGACATAAATCAGTGTAGCCTTGTGTGGTTTTGTTGGGTCTTGTGATGGTCTTAAGGGCTTTTGACCACTACTCTGCTGTTGGGTTTCAAATTTTTCCTTTCGACTTCCAAAAGTAATTTTTCAAAATTATTCTAAAAGTAAGAAACTTGCATCGTACGAAATTTTCACATAAAAAACCAAAGAATTAACAAATGGAAATATGTATCCTCGTTCAAGGTGACCCAGAGCTGATTAATCATGTGATATTTGATGCCAAGGTTACTCAACCCATCGTAGCCTACTGGCAAGAAATCTATGGAGCACCTCCACCAACAGCGTAAGTTGCTCTTTTTGTAATTGGGTTGTAAATTCGGGCATTTCACAATAGTGCGCCTCCAACAGTTTGAAATGGGTTGGCCAATCACAATGCGCGAAATTTGTTGACCCAATGTGTGTTTGGAACGTTCGACACATTTTGTGCGTTGTGATTGGCGAACGCGTTGCAAACTCCCGGAGGTGCACTATTGTGAATCGCCCGTATTAGAACAGATAAATAACCAAGGGAATTAATTTGGCAACATATACCGTGCTCATTCCTTTGTACCTTCTGAAATGGAGCACAATAAACCTGTTGAGTTCCACGGGCTTTCAGATGTGTTCACAGAAAAGGCAATAAAAGAACCAATGTCTTTTTTTGTGTAGAAGAAAGTTATTTCATTCAGAGACAGGAAGAGAAATGAAAGTTTAGGCAGGAGATCTGGTCCATAGCAATCAATGCAGCCATGGAAATGGTGCAGCCAATGCTAGGAAAACAAAAAGACATTTTGAAGATATCAATATGGTACATTTCGAATTACTTTGTAGATGATTTAAATACTCTTGATGTGTCCCTTAGCAATACCAATTTGACGCTTATTGAAAAAATCAGAGTTTCACCACTGATGCTAGACTGATCATATAAACCTGTTGGCTAAGGACGTTAGATAATGGTTTTCACAACATGAATTTGGAGAATTTGTACAATAATATATAGCAATATTTTGCAATTTATCTACAAACAGTAGTTTATTACTAACTATACATTTGCTTGTAGTTTCCTGGTTTTTTTTGTTCACTGTTACAATTTTCCTGTGATTTTTTTGATTACCTATTTTTGTCTCAACCCTAGCCCACCAAAACTTTCAAATGAAACCCTTGCCCAATTGGCTTTGTACCAAGCCCTCTGTGACAATGAAACAGCAGTAACCAAACTGCATACACTGGCAGCCGGCAGTGTGAATAACTCAGACATACTTGTCATAAACACTACGGATGGATGGTTTTCGGGGCCGCCAACTACCTATCCGAATGCAACCAAGATTGCAGACAATGCAACCGATATTCCAGTTACCGTGAATTTGACCTCCCCGACGTTTCCTTGGTTGAGCCAAGGAGGCCAACCGTCAGATCGGGAGGACGACATTGCCACATCAAATGCCCCAGAACTGACAACATACAATTCAAGTGTTTGGTAGGTTGCCACCTCCAAGATCTACTCACTGTTCTGCCTATCCACCTGATTGCAGTGCTTATTGTGCATTGAGCACTGGACTGACATTCACAATAACTCAGTGATGATGTCACTATTTTCTCGCATGCTTTCATAATCATCTTGTTCTTACAAATCATTTAAGTCTATAATCCTTTCGGCCTTGTTCTTTTTGGTTTTCAGTGCGGTGCCTGTAAAAGTTCTTGATTTGGATTCTTGTGTTGAATTCTTGTGCAAATTTTGAAGTTTCCTTCACATTCCGATGGAAACAAATCTCTGTTTTTTTTTTTCATAATGCTTTCTCAGAATGACTTTCCTTAATTTCTTCAATCCTGGTTTAAAATCTTCAAGTTGGGTATATGCTATGTTGAAAGTGCTGTCTAGAACCTGTATTGGGCAAATAGACTGGTACCCCAGTACTGCCTGAAATGATGCATGAGATGAATTCCTGATAGAATTTTGATGCTGTTAAATGCTTTTGCCCACCCATTCCCACTGGTAGCTTTTGGGTAGTAAAATGTGGAGTGTGTGGCTAGAGGTTATAAGTGCCCATCCTAGGGTCATGGATTTGAATCCAGGAATGAAACACATGTTGTGACTCTGGGCACAAGTCACTGAACCCCCCCCACTTGCTTCTTGCTCTCTCCATCTAGGGGTGTAAAATGGGTATCCAGCCCCATCACCAGCTTCAAGCATAGGGGAACACAACAACAGGAAGAGGGGCATATCAGCAAAGCAGTGGACAGATTTATACCATTTTGATACTTATGGTTTTTGTCAATGGGGGAGGGGTAGCTGCTTGTAGGGGGAGGGGCTACGGCCCCTCCATCTCCCCTCCCCCTGATGAGCTATGTGCCCATGGTATCCTGTGACGGCATTGTGTTTGATGAGCCAGATAGTGCCTGAAATGGCAGTGCAGGGCTGTATACTTCCCAAGTTGAGATTGTTCGAGGAATTTTTCTTGGTCTAATGAGCAGCGATAATAGTGAGCGCCAGTGCTGGTGGATATATATATGCATTATAAATATTTTCCTCATGAAAAAGAATTATTGGTATTCTTTCCCTGTCACTCTTCTTGTCTTTTCTTTGCTTTAAGTATGCAAGAGAAGCTCTCTTGTAATTCATTCAGCCTCAAATTCCTGCATTTTCAACATTTCATATCATTTTCAGTGATCATTGTTTCAAAATCATATCAATTTACTTATTCTGTGTGGTGTGTGCACATACTTGTATTTCTGATGGATTAACTGAACATTGCAACTAAGTTCTGACAAACTTCATCATACAGTTTCTAACATAAATACATATATTGACGGACATGACTTCATCCAAACAGTTAATATGTTGATTGTGTGTGATTTATTACACATTTGCTAACATTCTGATTATTAAATTTTTTTTGTTTTGTTCAGGAATTTTTATTTTATGTACAGAGCCATATTTTTTTCACTGAGGCAAATAACACAGAGATTTTTATAATTGAAAACTGAACTTCAATGAAATTTATTATCATCCAGTCAATAAAAGTCATGGCATATGCAACAGGATTACTCAATCAAGCAAATACATGGTGTTTGACAGTGAGATATTAGCCAAATTGATTTTGATAATCCAGTTTTAGGGCAGAGAACCTTGACCTTCTATTAGTATTATTTTCCTGTTATTCACAGGAATGGCGTCGTGTTGTCGTTCGTTGGTACAAAAGGGGGCTTGACTAGAATTTTCCGCAACCCGTTTGCCACCCAACAAAGGTAGGACAGTGTTCCAGAGCAAACAAAGCAGCCAAATGTTTGTCCCCTAACTGTTTAAGAAATAGTTTTTTAAGGAAGAAATGTGCATGGAAAGTTTAGAATAATTTGACGTGTATTGAAAAATCATGCTTCCTTTTGAAGTTTCACTTGATTTACAAATGACTGTAGTGAACTTAAGACTGGAGCAACTTTGTGAATATGAATTTGTGTTTTTTTTTTGGGGGGGGGTATTTTTGAGGTAGTGTGACCAGTTGAAAACAACGGGGAATTAAAAGTTTACAATTATGTTTCTTTTAATTGATACACAGCAACTTTGCCGAAGACTTTATAAATACTATTGAGGAGGAGTATTACCAACGTGCAGCAGAAATATCAACTGACAAATTCATTTACTCTGTTCCACTCCAAACTGGTAAGGTTGCAATGTACTTCAGTGTCCTGTGCATCTCTTATAGAATGGTCATGATCATCTTACAGTCTCTTTCGGATATTTAAAAGTATTGTATTTCTTTTACCTAGTTGGACAGACAGTAGATGGGTCGGCACCCCTGCTTACCGCCAGCACAGCAGTGTTAGTGGCACAGGACGATAACAGAAGCATTGCAGCAGGTTAGACTCTGCCTGAGACCTGATTGGAGGAATATTCAATTTCAGAGGCGGGGCAACTCAAATTTCTGCTGATTCTGTCAAGCCTCTAAATTTCTGTTCGGCTGGATTCGACATAAGTGTTTTTGTCTTTTCTTGAAACTTGTAGAGTGCAGTACGTGTTATAAGAAAAGATTTCTAGTTAATTGAAAGAAATGCAACATCTGTTAGGAAGAATACAGAAATCAATTCCATAGTTGTAGTCTGTGGTTAAGTAAGATCTGGAAGGGAATGTGCAGTATATGGAATGTTAGGTAATCAAGGAAAATTTATTACTGAATGAAATACTTTTTCATTTTCCTGCTTAGCTGTTGGCTTTCAAATACTCTCTGACTCTCTGAGAGACATGCTCATGGACGCTACTGTAATGGTGAGTCTTCCTCTGAAATACAAACTGAAACACTTACGTACGTTGTGAGAAATTTCACTATTACAAAAGGTAGTCAAGTAAAAAAATCAAGAACCAATTATCCTGATGGGTTATGGAGGCATTAAACCTCCCTCTTAATACTCTTGAGAACTAAAATGTCTGTTTCTCGCCCTTTATATTTGAAGGGTGCAGTAATGAATTGTCTGAAAAGTGCCCTCTCTTGAAATTTGCTTCAAAGAGACAACAGTTGAATAACTCAAAACTACCACAGTTACAGTCTGATATCCTCACAGGAACTTTTTTTTTGTAAAAAAGCGAATCGTTTTATGTCACCTATCTCCCTTTTGCTCACTTATCTGTCCTCAAACTGGGCATTTGAGTGGATAAAGAGAAAGATTCTGGTATTGATTCTCTATATTTTTCATTTCATTTACTTGCAGCGAAGACCGGGCTGTAATGAGGTGGCTTTTGACTGTGAACTCACCTGTTATAATGAGGTATGCAGGTTGACGATAAGTCCTTAGAGCGGGCACCATCCTTTAAGCACTGTGAAGCAAATTCAATCAAGGGCCTACTCGAGATCTTTTTTTCATCTACCTTGACCAGAGCTCATTAATCAGTGTAAAGCACACAAATGCAAATACTCCAAGCTTTGGCCTCAGTTTAGAAAATTTGATGCTTCTGCCACTGAAAGTAGAGCTGCATCATGCAAGAGTATCCCTCCTCAGGAACTAATTCCTGAAACCTAAGTAGAGTCGGAGACAGAGATGATACCAAGATTTGAAGAACCTGAAAGATTAGTGTTGTTAATGCTTGACTGATGACGCCATGGTGTATGTGTATTAATATGCTAATGAACAGAAACAGAGTAAAATAATATGATCAAATTTAATGTCTTTTTTTGACATGCAGTCAGTGGACTGTTATCTACTTGATGAGCATGGATATATTATTATATCCAAGGAACAAGAAGAGGTATGTTTGTGTTTAGCTTATCCATATTTGCTCTCACAAAGTGAACAGAACACCCTGTACAACTTCAATACTGTTTGAACAGTTTGACAGTAAAAGATCGCAGTAAATATTGGTTTCAGGTGTTTAATACAGCAGTGTAATAGGCTGTTGTTAGATTAATGAAATAGCTTTCTAGAAATCTGGTACTAATCTAAAGAAATGACATTGGGTGCAGTTTCTATTAAGTATGAAACCATTTCCATAAGTCCTTTACTTTCAGTGCATCTGCGTTACAGCAGTGAAACTAGTGTTTGTCAGAGTAAGTGCTTGGAGATTTTTACGGGTACCAAAAGAGGTTCCTCCTTTTTGCAGGGGTGAGCATGGACTTCTGGTGTAGATGCAAATATAGGGGGCATGATGAGGGAGACCAGGATGGGAGGGAATGTCCCCTGTAGGGTACCTTGACTCAAAGGTTATGACACAGCCAAATGACAGTTTTGTTGTCTTGTAGATTGGGATGCATTTTGTCTCGGTTACGAAACATGCTCGAGTGTTTGACAGAATGTTGGAAAGTGGCATCTACACAGAGTAAGTATGCTCCTGTATCCTCAGTAATCCAATTTGCAAAGCATTTTAAACACTTAACATAAGATAAACATTCATTTTTATTGTAAAAAGGATCTTATGATAACCAAGAGTGGATCCAGAGATGACCATTTCTCACCCCAAGAAAGGAGCCCAAATTTTTTTTATTTGGGGTCTATTTATTTCTCTTCTTTTGAAAGCATGTAACAAAGAAAGCCTCAGAGAGGCTATGAAAAACTTACAGGAAAAAAATCCCAATTCTCGGCCCCATAACCAAATTTCCCCCTCCCCCTTTGAAAATCTGGTTCTGGGTCTGCTCCTTGATGATAACTCTCAGCACAAAGTGAGCCGGAAAAAGAAATGTGAGTTCATCTGCCATTTGCTTGGCTGTACATGTACATCTTCAAGATAAAAAAAGGCAAAATGTTTATTTAAACATGGGCTGTATCTGACTTAGTCACCTGAGGCTAACCGTAATGCGTCAAAGGAGATTTTCATACGTGAAAATGCTTTGACTTGATGCACATGTCAGATGGAAAATCATTGCATGCACTAACTGTGTTATCTAGAGGTTCATAAATCTTTTGCTAAAATAATTTGACAGCATTGTAAATATGTCTTAATAGTTAGTGTTTAATTTCATGTCTATTATTAATTGTGACCGGTTCAGTAATGTTTTGCTTTGCGTGTAAAATTTACACAGTACACTTGTCATTTTTCTTTGGCTCTTTGATACTTGGCTCAGGTCAAAATCGGAGACATTTTGTATGCAGAAAATAAAGGAATCTTTTTTGTAATTACTTATCCTGTTGATTAGGATAAAGCAAATTGATTACCAGGCCATGTGTGAAGAGATAGTCCAGGACACAAGTGCAGCATCACACCTGTTGGATGTAAGTTATTTACTCTCAGAAAACATTACTTGAAAGAATGTGTCCCATCAAAGTTGGCATCAACTAACACCTTTTATGCATGATGTACATTTTGCCCTCCAAAAAACTCTGTGGTGAAAAAAAAATCCTGGCCTGAGCTTGTCAAAATGTAAAGTTGCTCTGGGAAAAAAAACAAGTCATGTTTTTTAAAATTTGGTTTAATTAAAACTCATGACACTCATTTCTTTATCAATTTCATAGACATTTTGAACTTTTGCAGATGTTTTCGACTTAGTGAGAGCATTCTCCTTTGTTTTTATTCCAGCCGTTAATATCCATCAGCACATTCTTGATGGGCTTCACAAAACAGATGCTCTTGTAAGTTTATTATTTTCTGTTTTTTGGTTGGAGGTGGGGTAGAATCTGTAACTTTTGTTTGTGTCATTTTTGTATTAAATTTTGGTCCTTATATTTTCCTCCTTTCAGGCTTCTGTCCCATTTGGGGTTGTATTATAATTGGGAGGTGTCATACACTGAAGCTGCTGTCACAGGTGAGTTAAAACTTTACCCATATCCTTTTCTGAATAAAGCCACTTTGTTGGTCCAACTGTTCATGCACACCTCGAGATTGAACGTGTTGGACTTCAAGCACGGGAAGTGTATTTCATATAAAATCCTGTAAATTTGCCATGTTGTCATTGTAAATGCATTTATTTCTAAATGTGCATTTCAATTTTCTTGGGATAGCTGATAAAGTTGTCTACACACCGTGCGACAAAGAAATTACCTTTTATAGTGCTGGTAGTGGCCGTCTACCTCAGACGAGTTTCATTCAAAAGAGATGTGATGACTGCAAGAAGTAAGTGTTATTCTGCAGTGCTTCCACTTGAAGCCTTAAAATAAGGTTCCCACTTGTCTCCCCCCCAAAAAAAATAAAAATGCAGGGATGCATCTTATCCCTGGGAAAAACCCGCTAGGGTAGACACTTCTAGAAATTAAAAATACAACTTAGCATCGCAAACATCATTCACATTGTGTTTGCATTAATTCAACTTTTCCCCTGTGGATGGAATGCCATTTTCTCCTGTGATACCAACTTTCCAGATTCCCTCTACATATGTTCTAGAACCATCAATCATCATGTGGGGGACAACCCCCCCCATATATATCACTGGCCAAGGGCTAGCTGTTACTGTCACCAACGGGAAATTCACCAATTATTATAAATTAATCAATTCCATCTTCGTCTTAGGTCTTATAGCATGGAGGCTGTTCCCCATAGCAACCTCTTACTGCTCATGGTAGACCAGGACTGCACATGCGATGTCCTGAGACCTATCAACCTGGAGCCCGTCAGAGTGGAATATAACAGTTCTCAATGGTGTGAAAGGTTACGAACCCAGGTGCATCGTAGACGGCCTGAGTATTGTCATTCTCAGCATCCTATGGTACAATTTTTGAGTTTTTAATAAAGCAGAAACTTCATGAACAAGTCTAGACACCTAATCACTGGACACCAAATCAATCAAATTTTTTTTCAATCTTGCTTTGAGTTATTTTGAACAGAGGGTGGACCATTTGCAGCTAAATGAAAATATCATCACCAAATTATGGTTAAAATTGTTGAGTGCTAAGCAGTTTTTCTGCATTGTTTATGGTAAAGCATTTCAGAGCTTTTTTACACTTTTACTGGAACTTTTTTTTCTATTCATCATTTTCTTTACAGGAGAATTCCACAGATTGTGGTCGAGGTGCGTGGCTTTGCCCCTCGTTGCCATGGATACTATCAATGTTGCTCGTCAAGTCCATCCTTACGCAGATATCCTCCAGGTCGTGACAACACGCCACCTAGTGACCAGATATTGTATGGACAACGAAACAATGAAGGCTGGCCTTCGGTGTGACTACTTTTTCCAGTTTAGAATCTGAGATCTTCTTATTTCTTTGTATGGGGTCATAATAGTTGTGTGAAAGACCCATTGGTATGCTATTTTCTCATATCAATGCCGTTCTAGTGTTGTATTTCTTTAAAATGGATAAATGCCAATATTTCAAAACTAATAATAGATATTCATGGTCTCTTTTGAGGATGCAAACGTACAAACATTAATCAGCCTGCACAGTGAGAGGTTATAATCTTCAAAGCCTTTTATCCAGACTCTTAAAAAAATTACATCGAAGATGAGGTCATGTATTTAAAAGACCTGATTGTCCAAAGTGGAATGTTTATGGTAAGGATGTCTGATTAACAGTCTAACAGATGTCTGACAATAACAGTGATGTTATGATGAACGGCCCCAAACCCACAAAAACAGAAATGGAGAGCTTCTAAACCTAAAAAAAAAAAAAATTCAAGTCCAAACCACAGATGTTATGTACAAATCTTTTGAATTCAAGGCAAAACTCTACCCCTGAACATCTGCAGTTTCCCCTCTGTGCAAAAAAAATACAAATGCATTCAATATGCACTTTTCACCTCTTAGGGCCATCACACAAATATATCAGCAATTAATATGATTGAAAGCTGCAGTGTTGTCCAGCAATCAAAATAATCACAATTTGTACTCATTGTAATAACTTTTTCCTCTTCTTGACAGCTTAGTAAAGACAAAGACACTAGAGCTCCTTTGCTATCATATTCCATGCTCATATGTGTTCCTCTGCAAAATGCCACCTCTTTGTGCACATTCAGATGAAAATTGGTCCCATAAAGAGGTTTGTACACTCTCCATGATCTTATCTGTTTTTTTCATTGCCTGGCTTTGCCTTGCACTTTTAGAGAGCAACATTCAAATTAAATATAAATGCTTCAACATTTGAGCTGACAGCATGTCGTTCAATGTTTGAATGGCAGTGCGTCACTTTTTCTGAGTGAACGACTCCAAAGTCAAGGGGTTAAAAAAAATCTGGCAAATCCCGAGACGGAGATGAGGCCAAGTACTGGGAAAACACACAATCCAGTATCTACTGTTTGCAAATAAAAACCCACAAAGCTGTGCATTATTACGTAAGTTGCTACAGTTAACAAATCTCTCCTTACTATGTCTGCTATTTAAATTGTATATCTGTAAATATATGATTTTTTAAAAGAAATCACAGCGTACATAATGCCAGAATCCTCTGTGGGGATGCAAGGGTAGCAACATATAACCTTCCAAGTTATACTCTCTTTTAAGAGGTTCGTTCAAATTTCTTACAATTTTTACAGAGCCTATTTATTGAGTGTGCATGTGTGATGCCAAATCTTGTGTAATATGCTTTGGTGTTATACATTTGTGTGTAAGCACAACGTTTTAAACTTCAGTTGCTGCTGGTATACAGATTGATTTCAAAAATAGAAAGAACCTCGCATCTTTAGCTGATGCATTCCAACAGCACATTGGAAAATTTGAGCACACTCAAACTTCAAACTACAGCCAAGTTTAACTTTGCATTTGCCTGTGATTGGAATCCACTTAAGTTGCAAAAGGGTTTCTTGAGTGATTTTTCGAGGTGCATTCGAGGTTGAAAATATTTGTCAGCCCCAGTAATACTTAAAACCCATCAGTTGGTCTTTTGTTTTTTGAGACAGTTGCACTGTCATTTTTCGAAGGTGGTGTTGCATTTGTGGGATAGTTTTTTTTTGGAAAACAAAAATTGTTCTAAACGGTTTTAAATTCCTACGTGGATGTCCTCTCAAACCGATGCACCCTCAAACCATTAAATCCACAAAGATACCACAGGAAAGGATTGTAAGCTTGTACCCAGCTGCTGTCAGTTGGTCTTTTGTTTTTTAATTAAGTCAGTTGCAGTGTCCTTTTTAGAAGATGGTGTTGCAATGGTGTGAAATTAAGTTTGCAAACTTGCAGAAATGTATATTAGTTTCATTGGGATCGTCCTTCAATTTGTTTCTTTGAATGCATTCCTTTAAAACGCAGTTGCGTATTACCAGATTTTTTAAAGCAACCACTGCAGAGAAAAATGTTCAGAGATATTACAAAACCAGCCCTGCATCGTCTTTATTTTTTTCAGCCTATTTACAGAATTGTATTCATTGCTTTGAAATGTTATCGTGTTTTGTTACTTTGATACATATTTGCTTAAAACGGATCGCTAATCACCATTAAAAAAAAAGGCATGTCAACATTTTTCTTATATTCTTTCCAATTTGCATGTCTCACTATTAATAAAAGAGAGAACTTTTTGCCATTGAAGGCGAGACATTTTTAGATTTGTAGAACTGTCACCATCATCAATAGCGTATCCCGGTTCAGAGGGGGAGCAAAGTTGGGATTTTTCTCTGCAACAGTCACCAACTTTCTGATGAAAGAGGGTAGTTGCCATTCCTAAGTGTTGGCACTTTCAGGTCCCTTAAAACAATCTGGATCCACCATTGGCCATTGTAAGAGCATACAGATGCATTTCCATGACAGTTGGAGGTTTATAAAGAAAACCGGACGATTTCCACTTTTAAAGCCTAAATAAAGTATTATCTCTGTCTTTGATCTTGACACCGATATTTGTCATGTTGATGGTTTCAGACATATATACTGAAGACCACCTTTCTGTGAAATTTTTAATACCATTGTTTATTTGTAGAACCACACTGGGATGTTGCTAATGCACACTATACGTGCAGTTTTCTCTTTACCCAACATTAAAGATTGTATGACCACTTATATTTAAAAAAAAAGTCCACAATTCATCTGATTAAAGTTGAAGTAGTAATCAGTTCTTGACTTGCTTTCATGTTTCATGTAGTTGTTGAAAGCCTGTACCTTTTTCTTTACTAAGGGTTTGAAGGAGAGTTATATCAGTATTTATGGGTAAGTCCTTCTTTGAGACTGCTGCTCATCTAATAACTAGCTTGATGGTATTTAATATTGAAAGAATGTCTTCCAACTTGGTGAAGTTTTTTTCAGTTGTGATAGCTTTAACACTTGTCCATATATCTGAAATATTTGACAGGTGCACACAACAAATAACACAAATTAATATATGGGAGGGCTTCGTAGCACCATGATCAGAATATCGACAAGAATATAAGATTAAAATAGTGCTCTGAAATATATGATTGTCAAATTTTCGGTAACTGAGTACCTTCTTCAGGGCAAGCAGATTCAGTTCACAAATTAAAATATTTTGTTGCTTCATCTGATTGGACGTTTCAAAGTCATTGGGTTGATCTAGGCTGACAGAAGAGAATGAAATGTTGACATTGTGTAATATGTGAATGTAATTTTGCAAAAAAAAAAAAACAACCTAAACTGGATGTTGTATTTTCAAACTTTGTATTTCAAATTGTCAGTATCATACTTTTAGAATCATACATTGTACCCGAGCATATGAACTATGTACTCACTGTGTATGGACTAGTTCATATGGTGTCTCTATTAAGATTATGCTTCACATTAAACCAGCTTATTCCTAGAAGGTTACAATTGGTTCTTGGCTGACGTTGGGCATATATTATAGGACAGGAAGGATATCATCAGTGGGAAGATGCACTATTGGATCAGCCTCCAACTTGACACAAGTATGCCGATCACGGTATCCATGAATCAAAGTGACGACAAAGAAGTCATGAACGGAAAAATTCCAATTTGATTACGGTTGAAATAGTAAACCAGCATTTATGTATCTGTGGTTTTTAAAATGATCAATTGTTGCATCTGTCCTTGATTTGAAAAAAAATATGGAACTGATGAGGTGGTGTTAGCTTTATTTGATACAAAATCTATGCAGAATTAATGTACAGTAATCGACAGTTATACATAAATTGTTTCTGGTAATAAAAATATTAAATGCATTATAGTAACATTTGATTTGAGTGATCATTTTGAAATGAATCATAAGAAAGCTTGTTTCTTTGTCCGTTATATATGTAATTTTTGGATGACTATTTTGAAAGTCGGCTGTGGAAGTATTTCCAACAATGTGATATCTGATTTCAGTGTTCCCGAAAAGCAGACAGACTTACTTAACAGAGTCAAGCGCTGAACCAGCGGATTGCACCTATCAACTTGGAAATGGCGAGAGCAAATATGATTGGTTCAAAGTAAATATCACCTGCAAACGTCACTAGACGATTGGTCAAATGACAGAACGCTATTTATATAAAATTTGCATATCACTCATTCGCCTGATGAGGTGTGACACGTACGATAATAGGTTCGCGGGTAGCAAAAGGCCAGCCAGGCCTACGTACGAGTAATCAAACACAGACGCCAACGTGACGCCACAGTATGGGCGTGGTCTGTTTCGTGATGAGGCGTATACATGTATTTCGTGACAATGGTTTCACGAAGTTAGTTCAGGCATGCTCTATGATTCAGACTCTCAGATTCAACATCCCAAGGCTGACGACTCTGCCTAACGAATAAAATAAAATTACCGACAGGTACTAGGTAACGTGAATACTACGGTATTCACGCATGACAGACCAGCCGTTCAGTTTGTGTACGTGGAGATAACAGTCAGTCACGAGTAGAGAAATAGAACTAAAAACAAGCCCATCACACTGCCAGAGTGTGCACACAAATGATTGCAACATCGAGAATGGCACAACGCAAAGAGCGACGGCTTGAATGCAGCAGGGGACAATGGCACCGATGTTGCCGCCAGCGTTTCCGCAGGATGATTTCTCTTGTCAGCATGTTTTGTGTTATCCTACTTCCGTCTGTCACGGGCCAGGCCTATTGGTACGACCCGCCTTGCCTGAATCACAACTTCTCGTGGACGGTAAGTAGGCATATATCACATTTCTTTGGCGTGCAGTCCTAGGACACCGCTGCATCTCTTTCACTCCATTCATCCCCTACTTACAGAAGGCACATCAGTCAAAAATCACCTTAGAAAGCTAATAGGTGACTGCAGGGAATAATTACTGGCGTCCGTATAATGGAACTCTCTCCGTTAGAAGTTTCTACTCGCGAGCATTTTGTTTTTTGTTGTAGGCCTGTTGGTTGACACTTATGCTTCATCTTAATCTCGATGCTCTGTGATGAAGAATTCATTAGGATGCGTTTGACTAGTAATCAAGGATATACAACGTGTGACCTTTATGTTGTGACCGAGCTAAGTCAATTAGCCAGCATCTGTGGCTAAAGGGGATTGTAAATTTGGAGACCCTGTTCCTATATAAATAGAAGAGAGAGTTACATTTTAACTTCTGAATTCACCTTGGTAGATGACTGTGACATGCTCAATAACTGTTGGGTTGATGTTGTCAAAAGAAGCGCAGGGTTTTGAGTTTTGAGGGAAATTATTGGGGGGGGTGAACTGTGGGTGTTTTAACACATGCCACATGGTGGATTCAAATTTGCATGGCTAGTTTATCAGTAAGAAAGTCACATTTTCTCACAACTTACAGAAAATACTGTCTCAAAGAAGAAGGTCATTTTATTATCAGTGTTGAACCATGTGTAATTTAAAAGGTGTCATTGGGACAGACTTCATTATTATATTTACTTTTGAAAAATAAAGTGTTTATGAATTGTGACTAATACAAGGTTGGTAAAATAATTCCAGACATTAGCATGAATATCAGAGACGCTGGCAAGTGAACAAGCTTCACTATTTCTTAGCTCAGTCTTTCTCCTGGATTATTCAGTTTGGTTTATCATTGCATTTGGTAGAAAAAAAGCTCCATCTCCCAAGGGTGCAGCTACTTATTGGAAGATCAGGGGCATTGCTGGGTGACGCAAACGCCATTCCCTAGAAGCAATACTGTAGTCTGCCCGGAAGTAGCTGGCAGTTTCTTAAATACACAAACAACTTCATTTCAATCCCATGCAAGTGTTCGGAGATTACTTGTTCAAGCTATAGAATTATGGGTCACTGACAGGAAGCTCACGCGGTCATTCATATAGAAATAAATAGCTTCTACTTGTGGGGAATTTGTGTGACATTTCAAAGGATCTGTCTGTCAGCCTTTTCTGTTTAGAAATACTTCAAAGGAGTTAGTAGAAAACTACATTCTGCCAGGAGGAAGTGAGTTAAATGGAAGGAGAGCTGAAAAGGATCAAGACTATTTTATTTTTTAGGGCTGAGTATTTTTTTTATTTTTTGGTTATGAATATAACCATATATGCTGTGGTGAAAATTGCTACTAAATCAAATGATGCAAATAAGTTGGGATGCAAAAACACTTTGTTGGAAAGATCTTTTATAGATAATAATGATCTACACCATTAAGTGCATGTTCATCGTTTACAAATGTACATTTGTCCACGATTTTTATGTTAAGGCTATCTGTATGATCCAACTTCTGGCTATAAAAAGTGGGTCATTATTATTAGTTGGTCATATGTTAATTCCCATTTCTATGTTTGAATGCACATTTTCTTATTTGTCATCTGCTCCAACAAAAAAAGCACCAAGACTGCAGAAATTCCGCACGGGCATATTCTTCAGCTTGACATGCGTGTGCATTTGGCAAATCAGGACACGCTATTGGTCAAAGAGTTATGCAACACACGCGTATCACCTGTCCACGAGCGCATATCACCTGTCCACGAGTGCGTATCACCTGTCCACGAGCGGGTATCACCTGTCCACAAGTGCGTATCACCTGTCCACAAGTGCGTATCACCTGTCCACGAGCATTGTTCCACTGCAGTTCAGCTGGTTGTCAAATTACACTAGGCCTATAGAGTAAAAGCAATTCCTAGAGAGACTGAGCTTGGAGAAGTGTGTCAGAGACTTTGCATCTTTGTTTCTGAAATTCTTTGAATATGTATGACCCCACAAAAAATATAGAACATGAATATATTACCTGAAAATGATGATTTCAAATGTCTGTTTGCACTAAACTTTGGAATTCGGTAACACAAGCTTTAAACACAGAGCGTGTCTACAATTTCTGGTTTTGTTCCATCTTTTTTCAACTTATCAGCTGGGCTTAGTCAATTTGAATAATTCACTATTTGAATATTTGACCGTCATTTCGATCTAATATCCGAATATTCGATTGCACAGTACCGACCAGCAGATTGTTGATGAACAAACCATACACAAAATCAGTTGCAATAATGCACATAATTGTACATTATAATCACTGTAACAGCTTCTGATATCTTCAGCGATTTAGCAAGATTTAAGAGATGAACAATCCTGTTTCTATAAAATTTCTATTCCTTTTAAATTTTTTAATGAATAATTGACTTTTGGAATTGTAAGATTTCTGTCCCTTTACATTTGAACCTGCTGGAAACGAGCCTCCATAGTGCAATTTTTTTCATTTCACCCCCCCAACCCTCCCTTCCTTTTTATAAATTTTGCATTCGAATATTCAAATCCGGAAAATAATATTCAAATACTCAATGATCGATCGGATATTCAGCACAGCCATGTTGAGTATTACTTTTATTGTAATCCCATTGGAGTATGCAGTGATGAATAGGCACATGTATTTCCTTTGGTCTGTTGCTGTGTTAGCGTTCGAGCATGCATGTAGACATTGACCAAGGTCGGACTTGACCGTGTTTAGATGGAGCACTGCTTGACTGGCCCAGAAGTCGGTGTCACCCACTGTGAAGAGCTAACAAATCCAAACTGAGATATGGAGCTAATGAAGCAGTGTATGAACCATCACCTGCTGATTTGAGACATGGTTGACCTTCATATTGTCATCTGCGGTTTGGAGTATAACACAGTATTTGAATACAGGGCAAAATGAAAAGTTCCACATATTGTATAAATTAAATGCTTCTGTAGTAAGTGAATTTTTGATGTGTATGGACCAGTGCACATAGTGCTTGCCCATTTGAACAATTTTGATGTCAAACTGATTACTTTCATTCTATCACAAGCATGGAGCAAAGTTTGTGAGTGTAACAAAAGCATAAAATAGTCTCCAGAAAAAAAACGATTTTAATACAGATCTCTCTAGAATACTTGCAACAAAGGGAGAGAGAGTAACAGTTTTGATCCCCAGTAAAAAACTTTGATAGGATCAAACATCAGACTTTCATGCCTTTTCCAGCTTTTTTCATGACATTTCCCTCCAGCAGGGAGTTTGCAATGAGCCAATTCACTTTTATTCAAATTGTTACGTGAGGTTCCGCATCGAACACCCCTGTTCCGTCAAATGCCAGAGTTATTTCAGACTGCTTGCCTGCAGTATGTTTCATTTTTGTAGTCTATTATCAGGGTTTTTAAAACCACTACTGAAGGGTGTGAAAACAATGTGTTCATTTCAGCTTCAGTTTCTGTGGCCTCCCTCCCCCCACACGGCAGCTACCCCACATCAAAACCTGCCCTTGTTTCAAATACAGTTGTGTGAGATTTTGTCTCACGGATTGTTTGCCAGCGCGATTCTGGACAGGATTTCAAAACCAGTGTTATTATTCTGGGGTTTATAATTCCCTCTCCCTGGCCAAGTGACTACTACAAACTAAACTGAAACTAGCAAGACTACATCAGCTGCGTCACTGTCCAGACAGCCAGCAAATCTAATCTAAACAAAACAAGAGTCGGTCATGGGGAATTAATAATGCACACCTCACTGAGTGCTGGGTACACAAAAACTGAAATGATTGGTTCTCTCGTTTTCAGAACTGTACAGTTTCATGATTGTGGAGGATGCAAGCTCCTCTGCATTACAGGCTATCTGTTTGGTTTTAACAACAATGCATGATGCATTTTAAAAGTGAATTTTTAACAGACCAGATTAATGAAATCGTTAAGAGGGCTGTTTCAAATGTTGATAGCGATAGAGGAATAGGGATGCTGCAGTTTCTTTTTTGGGGGGGGTGATGGTTCACTTGCAAGATACAGACAACCTCTGTTTGTCATTTAAGGTCTTAAAATATATAAAAACTCCAGATGTTTGCGTGAGAGAGTCTGGTGGTCCTGGTGTCTCCCATGCTGTGAAAGTGTCACAAGTCATGGGAATACAACTGATAAACTTGCTTTGGCTAGATTCCCAGGAAGAGAAACTCACCCAGGGATCCTGTGGAATTCTAGTTTCCCAAAATTCAGAGTCTGCACTTTGAGAGAACTATAGAATTGGAAATGTATGTATGCTCTTAGAACGCAGGGTTTGCCATGAATCAACTGAGGGTTGTAATTGTTTCATTGTCCTGACAACCCCAAGGCAAGCTAGGTTCATTTTATAGTCCCATATCAAATCTTCACACCTCCAATTTCATTGACTTCTTCACACAAGATGGGGGGGGATAGGTCTTTTCAGATGTGCTCCCAAAGGTTGATGCATAATATAATATTGCTAATACTCCTAGCAGACAAACAATTGCCACTTTTCACTATTCTCTTATCATACATTAAATATTACTCAAAAGTATGAAAAGAAAGTAACGTGCGCTATGTATCCAATTAAAACAGAATTCTGTGCCTTAGGCATATAGCTGATCCCTTGTACTCTCACAAAAGCAATTTACTTCAAGGTTGTCATTTTTTTGTGACACACAGACTTGATACTTACTGAAGTTTAGGTGTACATATTTTTCTGAATGCAGTGGAATTGCATGGAATCGTGCCCTTTCAATTTACGCAGTGATCTGGTCACACATTTGAATGAATCACCACATAGCTTTCTTTGCCAAATAACTTACAGTCATCAAACCGGAAACCCATGAGAATGGGGCTGCAGAACCCTCGGCTGCGGGATATGCCAGTCACGACTGATGGAGTAACAGGGAATATTGGCACATGGACTGAACAACCTGCAGTGGTGGGCATATATTCGTCATTTTATCCAATGGCAGATATGCCTCCTTTGTACTTAATTAAAGATGTGCTGAGACAATGAACAAGATGACACTGTACCAATGGACCGGTAATGCAGGGCAGTTGAAACTTCATTCACATGTCCCGCTGGATGGGATTTAAAGCAAAGTCAAAGAAATAAACAAAGAGATCCTTTGCCATTAATCCTTTGCCACTGTATTTGTGCTAGGCATCAATATTTCCCATTCCCAAAGGACAAAGCTTAAACACCAAAATCTTATTCACTGTGGATATTTAACTCCCACTGTTAATAAATACAGTTGATGAAGAGGTTTTTGTTCCACTGAATAAAGTAACACTGTGGCCGATAAATGTAACAATAAGAGGGGGAATGTATGTACATGTATGTACCTATGAAATGTGCTACCCTCATATTATCGTCATTTGGTTAAGAGTGGTTTTCCTGGTACTTGCGCTTCTCTGCCTGTTATTGTTCGAACTGAGGGTTAATTATAGTACACGAACACTTTAGTTTGGTAGTGCATCACGAAAAATGCACTCCTCGAGTGTTCACATCTAGAGGTCGTTTGTTTTTTTATTTGTACTTTTTTGTTTCAAATTTGATCAGGAGCTTGAGAAATTGAGGAAAACTGCAGGTACATGTAATTGTCTGTCATTTGTGTCTGAATAATGCATTCAGAATGATCATCCTCTGCACAAGGGCATCATGGGATGGAGGGGGAATGGCTAGGAATGTCTGGTGGTTCAATTCCCTTCCTCAGAAAAGAGGGGAAGAAAATTGAAAAGTGGAAGAAGAAAAAGAAACAACGAGGCAAAGGAGAAGAGGGATGAGATCCACAGCTTTGGGAGAGAATATATTCCCTAAACCACCGCAGAATCAGGAGACAGAGAATTTTCGATTGCAGGCCCAAGGATATGAAATATTCCATTCCACACTCCAAGAAGTTTAGCTCTGTGCTCAAGTTTAAAGGGTGATTGATTCCAGACCTACATGTTTATCCCGTAACCCTTGTCAGACCTGTGCGTGCTCCAGAGCAGCCTTTTTTTGGCGTCAGTAGATTTTCATTTGCGCAACGATTGCTTGGCTCTCTTATTCCTTGTTCCTTGTTTTTGTCTGAGTGCTTCAGTTCAGGCCTGGCAGTGGTTTGGTTTTGCTTCATATCCCCTTCCCTGGAAGAGCCCTGCCACCTTTCTTGCCCCCTTCTTGCCAGCCCAATTTAGCGTGAGTCCTTCCGACCCTCCAAAAAAAAAAACCAAATTGGTTGTTTAAATGGATCCTCATCAGTGGATCCTGCAGCTAATTTTTGATCTCAGCCTCATAAGATTTTACATTTTAAGATGTTGCCTCATGGGTTTCACTTTAATCAAGCAGCCTCTTAACAATTTTCATGTGTTAACCTTACATGAAGTCCGAACCTATTGCAGAAAGCACATTATGAGGTCAGGTAAACAAATTCCTTAAGAGTATTTTTCATTGATCCAGACACTCCATTTAGGTTTGAATACTGTCAGTCCTTATCATGATCCACTTGGATTTGAACCCAACTACCTTTGTCTTCTGTCACTAATGCTTTGTATGCATTTCAATTCAGTGAGTAGCATTTTGATTCAGTGACATAGTTGATTAGATTCTGATGGATGTTGTTTCTTTCCTCTAAATCATAGACTCATAGTGGTGGAACACAGAAGTGCAAGTTGTCGATGGTGGAAGTACTCGGCACTCAAGGTAAACTCAGAGTTGTGGTTGTCTTTCCTAAAAATGAGTATATCTCTGGAAAGCCCCATTATTATTTATTTATTTATATCTGCATGTTCATCAAACAGCGCATTTAGTGCCAATTACAGGATGATAATGAGTTTAGAAGACAAAGAAGAAATATTTACTTTTAGAGATGGGACGGAAAACCCCGGATAAATGTTTCGGGGGAAACCCACGGACTCAGGTAGGGACTGAAAAAATCCCAATCCACGTGTGGACCGAGCCGGATTTGAACCTTAACCACAGAGATGGAAGGCGAGGAAAGCAACACCACGCCAACCTGATGGCCCCTATATTTTTGGTGTCTCGGGGGAGAGAGGAGATTTGACTCCCCATCTCCCCCAGGATCTGCTCCTGAAACCCCTAAGCAAACAAAACTGCTGAGCTGGATACCGCTGTCCATCGGTTCATTCTAGAAAGTGAGTTTGTACAATTATGACAACATTGAACTTCAGGATGACAATCACATTATCTCTCCACGTTGACCCTCCCCAAAGATGAGAAATATTGTGCTAATCCCCTGGATTCTCTGACTGACGGGACCGAGCCCAGTCAGCCACCTCCTGTGGAGAATGTAGAGGCTAGCTACTACACCACACGGTTTGTCCCAGGGACATCTTCTTGGGAATGGGCAGGGATATGGAGCGGTCTAAACATCACCTTTCAACTGGGCCTGCAAGGTAAAGTAAACAGGAGCAATGTCTTTTTTTAAGTTGCCAGATGTGCCTCTTAAGGTGATTGTACTATGTTGGGGGGGAATAGCCTAGTGGCCAAGTTCAGTTTTTAGCATACAAAGTGAGGTAAAGGCATTCTGAGTTTTGAGCAAGTGTCAAGAAGCTGTAAAATGTAATTAAGTTTTAAGAACTGCCCTTTTAAGAAAACTGCATGGCGAGTGGTTTGGAAATAGCTTTGTTCCATCAGAATTAAAAAAAAAACCAGGAAAATATCACAGCTTTCCAGTACAGTTGTCAGAGTCTAAATAATAATACACAAAAAGTAAAATTTCATCCAATTGTTTGCAATTTTTGACACCCCAGGAGCTGGGAAGGTTAGAGGTGTGTTGCTGTCGATGAAAAGTCTGAGCCCCGATTCGGATGATTACTTGACCATGTATTGCCAAGCTTATGACTTCCTCCAACCACTCAGTGTGGATGCTCTGGTGGATCAACAAGGAAGCCCAGTGAGTCTGTCTGGGACGGGTCCAGAATTGGAAACTTGTCAGGATTTATCATCTCATTGCTGGCAGTTACGTTCCTCACAGTAATAAGAAGGGTACTCCAAAACAAGTATGCACATGATCAGTTTCAGCTTCAAGGTTTTGAATGATCTTTAGTTCTCCTCTTTTCCCTCAAGGAGCCAAGGTACTAGGTAAACACGTCTGTTCCATTCTATGAATTGCATGACGTGCTTTTGTAGCCCGCTGGCAGAACCACTCACCTTTTTCTTACACGTAACTCTCTCTTGATCCTTTTCCCCTGAAGTCCCCCGAGAAAAAAAATCAATTTTTGTCACCTGTTGTGTTCTACCTCTATGTCGTCCGCAGGTGGGATCTCCTAGAGTGATTCCAACCTCCCTTACCCTTCATGCAATCAGCCAGCTCTGTCATGGTCTCCACACCTACATTTTTCCTCGGGATGTAACATAGCTCATCCTCAGTCCACTAGACTGTGTTTTGTACTTACCACGTGGCACGTGCATGTCTTATTAATTGCCTTATTAAATTCAGCAATTTTTAAACTCTTCTCGTCCATTTTACACATGCCCCATACAGGGTTTTGAGCAGGCTGTGGACTTTTGACCTGCATTTAACTCAAAAAGTGCCAGATTTATTTGTCCAACAGTCCCACGCCAAACCATGCAAAGAGATTCATTTTGAGTAGAAATGGTTTTGGATACATTATTGCATGAACTCCTTCAGACCCGGTCCACAAGGTGCATTGCAGGACAAAATATTGGGCTTGACCCCCTCCCCACGGTCCTTTTAGAATTAAAATCAAATTAACAAGATGTGAACGCCGATAGTAAATGTTGCAGGACTGCTGTTTACCCGAAAATCGAACCCAATATTAACTTGAAATCTGTTTTCCAAGGTTGGAAAAAGTGAGTGGGGGCCTTGAATTTTTGGCTCCAATGTTGACAATTGATGAGAGAGTGTCTTGATAATATCTTCCGAAACCTGCCACAAATGTGAAATTGCATGAGAAACTGCAACTGTAATCATTTACATGACAGAAGATGGCAACTTTTGGGGAATAGAGGAAGTTACCACCATCAAACTTCACCACTGAGTTTTGAAAAAAATGAGATGTAGAACTGACACAGTTGTATGATTGATGCATAATTAGCAGGGTATTTCTGCTCTGTATGTACAGCTTTAAATTAAATGATAAAATAATATTCCTATCAGTTTACATACCAGCTGAGAGAACAGAACATTTATTGCATAACTGCTACATACTCCTATAAAATGATCCCAAAGTACTTATAATACCATTGTTTCTGTTTCTGACATCTTTGTTAAAATGCTGGTGTATGACCTCACGGGGCCCCACTTTTATCATGCACTTGAACTTTATTTGCTGGCAAAGATTTGGGCTTTGTTGCATGGTGTCCTAGCTTGGCAGCTGCCTTTATTGTGGGGTGCAGGGTTTTGCACCTCAAAATGTGAATGGATGATATAGTACCAGTGGGAAGTGGGAGAGAGTTATGTTCTCATGGCAGATACATATATCTGTGGTTCGTAATGGCAGACTCCTTCCACTGCACACCTGTCAGAAAGTCACAGCTGCTATGCGGCCCATTTCTAATTATTTGGGCATGTGATTATCAAAAACTCCATGGACCGAATACTTGAGTACTAGGAAGTCCACAGTGGAGTTTTACACACGCCAGCTGCAACTGCGAGTGTTGCCGGTCATTAGTCGCTCACAAAGAACCCTCATTAATTTTAAATGTAACAAGTTGCCTCTTCAAAATTGATGGTTTGTAAACTGTGAAGCTGAGGGGGAACCTAATGGAATCATTAGCCAAGCTTTGGAGGCTTATTTGCACAGTAGCATAGTGTGCCTTTGTTAAATTCATTTTTGGTACATATTTCCCGACTTTCCAAATACTACTTGTCAGTAATATATATACCAGGGGTACATCGGCACACCGGTCTCAGAGCCTGGTATCTTGTAGCAAATATTGATATAGAGGTCAAGTGCAATAGACAAGACCCAGACTGAGAACACTTTTTTGACATGTCAACCTTTTCAAGCTAGCTGTCTGTCTGTCTGTCTCTCTATCTATCTATCTCAGGCCAGCCTGCGAGTACAGCTTAATTGTTTCTGTACTAATCTGCTGGCAGGAACTGATCATTGCATAATGGCTCAGCAATCGTTTTTCTTCTTTGTAGATGATATTGTCTTTTTATACCTGCATGTGCAAGCAATCATGCGTAACTGTTTTTTTTCCCCTCACAGGTACAGTTGTTCCATGATTGCTGGCGCGGTCAAAAACCTGGGATGGAATATGAATATGCCTTACGAACTCTTCCAGTGTTGGACACATCTGCATCTGATCCGGACGGAGATACTGCAGTGACATTTCAGTATAGGACACCTTGTGAGCACTGAGTATACTAAGGGTGGTACACGGACTCAATTTCAGGGTTTTTTGAGGGAAAAGTCACGGAAGTATATCCTACATATTTAGAAGAGATTACAGTTAATCTCTCAAGGTGCATTTACATTGTTATCTTATGGATAGTGTTAAATTACTAATTTATGTCTTTTATGATTTCATTATTGGGCAAGCCTGCCATTTTGTACACACAATGTCCAATACATAACGGAAGTTCCATCCTCAAAGATATTTGTGCATGGGTTCCAGGTTTTTTGTCATTGCATTGTGGTCAACTGGATGGAGAATACCCTCAAGAATTTCCAAGTTACTAGTCAGTGTAATGATTGTGTGATCAAACAAAACATTGCATTGTGTATGGGACAAAAGGGAGACCTTATCGTGAGCTTGCACTATTTATAATTTTTTTGATGTTTTTTTTTTATGTAGAACACACTCTTCAGGGGACATAGTTCAGTTTGTCTTTGGGGTCAGGGAGATAAATCATTTAACAGTTAATACACGTGTTTCAAACTGTTCTTTATCTGTTGTCGTTCTAGCGTGCTTCGCAGTTCCTGATGATTACTTGTGTAAAGACCGCATTACCGGACAACGACCCCCTCAAATCGGTAAGAACATCATACCAATCTTAAATACTGCAGGTCCAACAGGTGTCCTCGTCAGAGGCACACATCCTCAATCCACACATCCTCAAATAAGCCCTTACAAAGAAAGTTCAATTGAGAGAGCAAATTGAGACCAATTGGCTTTGAAGCATCATGGTGCAATTGTAGCAATCCAACATCATTCTCATTTCGTAGACTGAGACTCAAGATACATTTCCATCGTTTAAATACTGGTTTAGGAAAATGAATAGGCCTGTGTGCTAGTGACTTCACACATTGTTTTTTGAACGTGTACATTTCCTATGGAGTTTTCCTGGATTGATTAGCGTTTGTTTAGTCAAGCAGTAAAACTGCATTTTATGTTTCGGTCATTAGAATAGGTGCAATCACTCCTTAGTCAAGGAAAATTATGAACTCATGGCGACCGTCCGAGTAAAATAAAAAGATTAATACCCCAATAGGGCAAGCTGCCGTCTCCTGCATTCCTATCAAGTAGATCATAAACCTATATTGCCTTGGCTGAGTAAAAAAAAATAACTGTGAAGTTCTGGCATGAAGAAGGATCTGGGGTCAGACTTTTAAAAAGGAGAGTCACCTCATGTGAACATAGCGTGACCTCAACAGTACAGAGGTCTACTGAATGGTGGTCTGGCTTTGCATGTGGTTTGGAAACGAGGTAAAAAGGAATTGAATGCACATTGTTTAGACACTAAAACTTAGCTGTTGATGATTTTCAAAGTACTTAAAAGTCTGCTTTCAAAGAGGCAATTTTGAGTTTTAGTAAGGGTCTATATTGCATGATGTGGCGTCAGCACTTCGAAAAAGATTTTCCACAGTTTAAACTTTAGAATGCCAACTGTTGGACTCAATAAAGACTTTCTGGAGGTGAAGTTCTGGCGACAAGTGCTATATGAGCAATTAGTGTTGGCCAAAACAGCCTGTATTATTATTGGCTGGTTCTTTCTTCCTGACAGCATTATGTTCCTATTGGAGACCACAATACTTCACAGTGACAGCCAACTACAATGACCTCTCAGTTGCCATGGAGCTCGGCCCAGCAGAGTGTGGCTTTGATTCCTTCAGGCTGGCTGCGGCAAGTCGTGGTGCTACATCCGGTGTCAACCTGTGGGCCGATGGTTTTATCCAAGTTACCATGGTAAGTAATTTAAGCTGGTGCCTACAGATAGATTCTCAGTTTCCTCATCTGGGTCATGTCTAAAAACTTGAACTGCTCAGAATATTCCAACAGAAATACTGCTTTTTCGAATTCTTATTGTTACTCATTTGTGGTAGCAGAGCCAAGTATTTCTCAAAAGCAACCTAGACACTTAAGCTCGCGAGCTTGAAGAAACGTGTAGAGAGGAGACAATGAGAAGCAGTTGCAGTTTTAGAGGTGAGAAGAAAACCCCAGAGGAATATTTTGGGTAAAGCTTACAGAATCAGGTAGGGACTGAAAACTCAACCCACATGTGGATTGAGTTGGGAATTGAACCCAGACTACAAGAGTTGAAAGCCAAGGAGAGAACCTGACTCTCTTCCCCAAAAGATGTGCTGCAGTCCGGGAACAACCAAAATATGCAGATTCATTCAAACTGGGTGTATATTTTGAATGCACTGGATTTTACAAATTCCAGGTTCAAAGTTTGAAAGACACACAGATATTTTGGTTAGTTTGGGGATGTTCAGCATAAAGTCGAGACCCCTTTACACCATAACAAGAGATGCAAGGCCCTCAGCCTGAATTCAGGTCAGACGCTATTCAAATTTAATAAACTGCAACAGAAGCATTTGTTTGTCGCTATTTGTCACCCTGTAACTTTTATCTGGTCTTGTATCAAGTCTTCTTGATTACAACACTGCACCGTGGTATGATCGATCCTTATAATTGGAGGCTGAGGTATATTGAACAAGGTTTGTTTGAGAACACCATGGTGCTTAGCAACTGCAATCTGTCTGGACCCTTTAGCATTTCATGACAAAGTTAACAAGGAAATGTACAAAGGAATTGGATTTGAATGCTTAACCACTTGCATGCCGCCGGTGTTTCCGGTACCGGACATGTATTCTTTATATGTGTGGCTGGGGTCTCCAAAATTGGATAAAGGGAACTGGGCCTTGTAACAAAAGACTGCACTCGTAACAAAAGACCAGGCTGCTGGGAATTACCAACATTTTTGCACTCTGGATAGTGGAGATAATCCAGCCTTGTTTTGAAACAGTATACCATGGTTTGGGGGATTTAGCGTGAGCGAATTAGCACCGGCGGACAAAAGCTCTCCACCACCGCAGCAATGAGCCACACAGTACCATTACATACTAATCTGGCCCCAATTGAAAAGAGGTCAGCAGCACATTGAGCCAGGTTCGTGAACAAAAGAATATTACATAACACCGCAAATCTGGGCTCTTTTTACAAGGCAGCAGGCCTGGCTGAAATACTCCAGTGTCAATAGATGTCGTCTGTCAGATTGGAGTAGAAACCAGACAGTCCTTTGTGTGGGTGTGAGTGTCCAGTAAATAAAGATAGGAATTTTGAAAACAGAAAAAAATGATAACTATCCCACCTCAGCATCATCAACATTGATAACTGCCACCGGCGTGAAGTGGTTAAAAAGCCTCAGTGAGGGTAGGTAAGGATGTATGTACAGGTTGGGATTATGTGCGATTGTAATTTGAATGTATGAATGTTTTACATATCCGCCGGCCAGGTCTAAACTTAATTGGTTTTGCTGTTGAATATGACATACATGTACTATGTAGTTCTTATAAAAATTGCCAATTTGGTCATGGACTTTGTGAGAGAAAAAAAATCACAAGGTTACTGGAATGGGACGTATGCCTTAAACTCTCAGCTTGTCTGCAGTACGCACACCTTAAAGGTCTTGGATCTGCAGTACAC